TGGATTGTGCTGTGCGTCGCGTCCGTGCCCTCGCAACTCAGCCTGTGGCCGCCTGATTGACCCCAGCCGTGCCTTCGATGAGGACTCGCACTCCTCGCACTGTTGCAGTCCAAATCTAGAGGCAGTTTTGCTCGCCCCTCACTATTCGTATCACTCGCCTCTCGAGTTGAATCCGTGCTATTCTCTTGCCTGTGTTCGCCCTGCGCCCGTGTATCAGCCTTCAGATTACAGCTGCCTTGCATCGCGACAAAAAGCAGTGTTCAGAATCCAGAATGTTCTGTGTCTTTCGCACCACATGCCTTTCTTTAGTCGCAGTGATGTGCCTTACTGTACCCTGCCTTTCCTCAGGTACGAGCACCTCTACACCCTTCGGATTTGCGCGCCTGCCCAGTTTGATGCTTCTAGTCTGCCTTTGCCTTTGTGCACTTCACAGCACCTTTTCACTGCATTCTTAGCTGGGAAGCGGGCCCAGTATAAACAAGCCGTTCATTTCTAAGACCCCTTCCCGGGGCCGGGCAGCAAAAAAAAGGAAACAAGATGAAGAACCGGGCACCCAAAAAATAATAATGGCCGGTACCAGTCTACCAAACGGCATCTGGGTGGCCGTCCCAGGGTGAATAAGCGGCTGCTGGGGGGACCGTCCCAGTAAAAACCAGCGGCCAGCAATGCTTGCTTGCTTGCTTGCTTGCTTGCTTGCTTGCTTGCTTGCTTGCTGGCTGGCTGGCTGGCTGGCTGGCTGGCTGGCTGGCTGGCTGGCTGGCTTGCTTGCTTGCTTGCTTGCTTGCTTGGCACCTGGCAGCCATGTCCAGCCCAGCCTCTGTCGATGCGGAGTTCATACCGTCTTCACCTCACGGGCCAGTGACAGGGAGTAGCCGCACCAACGCCATCAGGAAGAACAGGGTCCAGACAAGCGGGGCAATTGTCAGGATCAGGCAAGGGAGGAGTGGGGAGCCCCGACGTCTCCCCCAACAAACGGGCAGGACTCGCCGTTCAGCAGGACCGGCGTGACCGCAGTGAGCGCATCTTGCGTGGCCACTACCCGAGTGTCAGGACGCGCTTCAGGACGCGTGCGGACACGCCTACCATGCTTTGTGTCTAGCGCGGTTTCGCGCCCATGTCTGGTGCATGCAGTGCGCTGTTTGCCGCCAAAGTTGGCAGCCCGGGTTTGATGCGGAGCTCGAGGCCCTTTGCTGCCGATTGGGCATCGACTGGCATGCCTTGCACTTACAGGACCCGGTTCCTGTCCAGCCCACGTTGTCACAGCCAGCCCCGGCAGAAACTTCCGACGTTGAGCTTGCGCCTGGCGCTGGTGAACCCGTTGCTACTGCCCTAGCCACCGTGCGTGGCTTGCTGCCGGCCCCCCGGTTACGGGGGAGCGTCTGCCCGCCAACAGTTGGCTTTTTGTGCCCCTTCTCTTGGCTGGGGGAGGGCTGCTTCAGCCCGATGCTGACGACCAATGGTCCACACACCCTTTTGCTTCTGCTTGCTGGTGTGCGTACGTTCTTCAGCTTCGCTGTTCGTCTCCGGTGTCTCAGCTCTAGGCCGTTGCCGTTCATGACGGCCGCCAACTACCCTGCACAGAGGCCTTGCTGGTCCCTTCCTTGCGAGCGGCGCACGTTCTCCTGCACTTCCCGTGGGTCCTCGAACGGTGCTTAGTTGACCAGCCCTGGCAACGTGCCCGACGCCCAGCCCGCGACTGCGGCGCCCTCTCATCTCCCGGGTCGCCCTCCCCTTGAACTTTGTCAGGAACAGGCCCCATTGGCGCAGCCACCGCCCGCCATCCCCTTCAGGGATCGCACCAGCGCCCCGCACGCACATTTGCGCCCTGCTGCCCCACTAGCTCCGAGCTCCCTGCGCATTGCTGCCCCCTTAGCAGAGCAGGCGCCAGCGCCGCCAGCACTCGCGGCCGGGCGCCGCAGCCGCACCGTCAGCAGGAGCCGCAACCATGACTGCCGCCACAGCAGCAGCCACAGCCGGGCCAGACCTGGCGGCTCGCCCCGCAACCAACAGCGCTGCGCGGCCGGACACGCCACCTTGGCAGCCCGGCCACCTCTCCGATGCCCAGCTCCGTTCTGTCGCGTCTGGATGCGGTGTTGGCCCTGCTTCGTGTGCAGGTCTTTGCGTTCCAGTCCCCTCTTCCATCGCCTTGCAGGCCGTACTCGGTGCATTGACGACGGGCGTGTCTCTTCCCAGTGTGCCTGGAAGCTGTGGCTGCTGTTGCCTCGCATGCTTCTCCACCGGCGCCCGGAGCAGCGCCACCTGTCCCGGCCCGAATGGCGCCACCGACTGCGCACTTTCCACGCTGGGGAATGGATGACGTTGTTGGCCGAAGTTGCCCAGTCCCTTCCAGGTTGTGATGACTCGCCGCGGGCTGCCCCCACTGCGGACGCCGGCCCAGAGGGTTCAGGCCTCTGCCCGCAGCCCGTCACCTTGTCCATGTTGGGGCGTTGTCCGCCGCGCGCAGGAAGCTGGCGTTGTGCTTGCAGGCTGCTGCGGCGGCCGTCGCCAGCTTGTCCTCTCCCTCCTGGCGTCCCCGGGGCCGAGCCTGCTCCTTTGCTTGAGGACTCCGATGGCCTCGCCTTGCTTGGAGATCGGGTGGCAGCCGTTGAGGACAGCTTGTCTGCGCAGCTTCCAGTTGCTTGCTTGTGTCGCAGCAGGGCCGTTTGCTGGTCGGCTGTTCACTGTCCTTCCAATCTCCCCTCAGTTGTCGGCCCCTTGGCGCTTGTTCCGTTCGACGGCTCCGACTCCCCCTTCCCATCTCTAATCGCGATTGCCGGTGCCGTCGCCGCCTCGACCCCTTAGGCGACCACCGCGCAGCGTGCGCCCGGGCTGGGTTGTTGCGGAGCCGCGGTTGCCCTCTCGAGCAAACGGCCGCTCGGGTCTGCCGCGAGGCGGGCGCTCTGAACCTCCCGGTCGACCCTCGATGACCGGCGCCTTGAGCTTGTCGCCAACGGGCTCCCCCTTTGGACTGGCGCTCGGGTAGCAGTCGACACCACCCGCAGACACGCTGGCCGTGTTGACGGGGCCGCCCTGCGCGAGGCCCGGCGCCGGAAGGAGCGGCTTGCCATTGAGGTTGGGGGGTGGAGCCCTGAAGCGTGCAGCTTCCTCCGCAGCCTCGCTCGTGCGCAAGCTCGCTCCACGCCGGCCCTCCTTCAGCCTTCAGTCGTCTCCGCTTTCGTTGCCCGTTGGTCCGCCTTGCTCGCGTCTGCCGCCCACCAGGCCTTCGCGGAGTCCCTCCTCCTCGGCTCTGTCTCCCCTGGCCAACTGTGACGGCGACGCCGCGGCACTGAGCGAGCTCCTTGCGGCCCCTTGCAAGCTGCTTGAGCAGGTGAGGACGCTGGCCTCCAAAAAACAGCGTGAGTGCCCCTGGTGCCTGGGGACCCCCTTAGGCAGGGTTTCGGGGGTCTCGACTTGTGCTGCTGTAAAAAGGCGTGAGCCAAAAAACAAATCAAACATACCCGACATTCCAGCATCCTGCTCATGCACTGGCATCAAAGCCATGTGCGTCGAAGGCAATTGAATCTCGGCGAGCCAAAGCAACGTGGCAAAGGGAGCCGCGGACGGGGGGGAGTCATAGGACGGAGCCGCCTCAGGAAGGGTTAAGCCGGGCGCACATGCCAGACACCGCTCCGCAACTGTGAGCCAACCAGAACGGCACAGCCAAGGTGGGGGGGCCACCCGTGGCTGGCAACGGCAAGCGGCTGCTGTCATTGAAGACCGAGTTTTCCAGGGATGTATTTTCTTTTTAACGGGTTTCCCGGTTTCGGCGACGTGCAGGTAGCTGTCGACGCGACACTTGTGAGCCCGGTGCGTCGCGATGGGACCGTTTTGGCCGCGGAGTTGCGGCTGCCGAGCAAGCTGTTGCGCATCGTCCTGCGGCGCTGCCTGTGCATCTGCGCGCGCCTGCCGCCGCGGGCACCCCGATCATTCATGGTGCTACCCGTTGCACCCGATGACCGTGGAACTGCAGCGCCGGCTGCACATGCCCGAAAACTGTGCAAGCGGCAGGTGTATCCCGAACTACGCAACGCGCGGCTGCCGCTTAGTTGTGTTTGGGGTTGAGGGCGGCAAGCCCCCGTCCTCTGCCGCTCGCGCGACGAGGCTGGCAACAAGCGCCCGCTGGACACACAGAAAAGAGCACCAGTCCAACAGAGCGCGCAACCGCGGGCCGCAGCCGACCCACGGCTGGGGCGCCAGCCCGACGTGTACTACCGGGAAAATACAACTTGCGATTGGCAATGCAGCGCGGGGAGGGTGAGCGAAACCCCAGACCGCGGATTCAGGCCCGCCCTGCTGAAAGCAGCAACCAAGCCGGCGGCGTGCAAGTCAGGCATCATGCGGGCGCCATGGGGAAGCTGCCAATCATGATTGCTCCGAAAGCAAGGCCCGCACCGCATCCTCAACGTTTGGGCCCTATGGAATTGCAGTTTGCAGTGCGGAGGCTCAAAGGCAAACTTGGATGATTTGCAGCCGAACTGCCATGGACCCACAAGTAGATTTCAGTCTGAGTCTCATTGCAAATCGAGAAGTACGTGTCCCTGGGCATCAACCCAAAGACAACAAATAGGCCCCGGAAAAAAGTGTGTGAAAGACCGGGAAGGGAAGGCGCTCAGTAAAGACTGGCGAGGCCTTGGTTGAAGACCGGGCAGATGCTCAGCCAAGATCGGGAAGGCGCAAACTGTGCGCAAGGCACATATCAAATGGCCGATGCAATTCCGTATGGCTGCCTTCCGATCTGCGGCCAAGAAGCAAAGGGATGTGTCTTTTGGCTCTCCGGCTATCCGTTGTGAATTTTTGGTTTGCGCCACTCCGAGCGGGTGCCATGGGACATGCCGGGTAATCACCATGCGTAAGGTCACGACACCCTTAGCCGTTTCCCTTATTCAGGTTCTCAGGAGCTATGGGCTCGACACTCCGCCATAAATATGTGTTGGGTAGTTTGAAGTCCTGCCACTGACATAGACCGACATATTTTTCACGATTCCTGCATTTCCAGATCATCTTGTTTGTGCTGGCATCGAAGTGCTCACCTAGTGAGCTGCTTTTCCTCCCCCTTGCCATGCGCTTTGGGAGATGTCGCCTGCGCCCATTTGCCTTCCTGGTCTTGTACGTGCTTGCCCTGACGGGGCGCGTGACATGGGCTTTCCTACCGTATACTTCTCCCGGAGGGCGCCAAGTGTTGCAGCCAAGCAGAAGGCATGCAGAGTCCAAATGTCGAGTGAGAGCTTGGGATGATGCTATCCCAGACCTGCCTGAGGAGTACAGGAGGATCGGGCCATTGAAACTTGGCCCGAGACCACGGCCTTTTGGCCTGTTGCTCATGCCCTTGGTGCTGAGCGTCTACTTCATGGCAGACAGCCGCAGAGCCGTGTTTCGCAAGCTGGACGTGGATGGGGACAAGCTCGTCTCGCCTTCTGAGCTAAGCGCCGCTGAAGTTCCCCCTGGCGTTTTTCAGGCAATTGATACTGACATGAGCGGTGCCCTTGACACGAAAGAGTGGCTGCTCAGCTTTCTTCACGCAGACCTTTCTGGACTAGAAGCTCAAGGCTTCAGCTGAGTGTTCAAAAAGACTCGACGCAGACTGTGCAATTGCCCTTGCCCCGACTGCAGCCGTCTTCCTTGATTCGAGCTCGGCCGCAACTTTCACTTACGAGATGCAAGTCGCAGGTTTGGTCAAAGTTTGTTTCGGAATCTAGTAGTGCTGTGCCTAATGTTGCTGAGAAAGCTCATTCTTTTTAACATATTGTACGTTAGAACGCAACACCTTTCTTTGTTGATGTCACCATCGCCGTCGTCAGTGTCAGCTCTGCCACTTAACATGTCTATCAGCGATGTGGATAGGTCGCGGCGGAGCTCTTTCCGTCGCATTTCTTTTGAGCAAGTGGCATTGTACTTTGCATCCATTGCATGGAGCTGAGCATGGCCATTTCCATCTGGATGCGAAGCAAAGATGCTAAGTCGTACATTCATGGTAGTATCCTTGGAGAACTTGGGGTGAATTGATTTTTGTGCACTTTCCTTGTGGACTGCTCAATTCTACTTTGCTATTCCTTGCCTTTGACCCTGGCCAACTTTTACAACTTGGCAAGCAGTCCGCAAAATCTGAGAACATCGTAACATGCTATATTCACCAGTTTTTGTTGCAACTGCCACAGAAATTCAGAGGGTGGACATCGAGACAAATCACTGATTCTCACTGATCACAAAGCTTAGGACTGTTGAAGAAAAGGGCAACGCCATCAACAACTTCGTCAGCCGCGTTTGGGTGATCATATCCAAAGCTTTTTGGCTTGACGGTGGCGGGCTGTTCTGGTTGACAGACCTCATGGCGCCCCTTCTTACCTGGTCGCCCGCAGCGTTCAGAGTACAGAGACAGGTAGTTGACAGCCATCGTTGACAGCGAGCATTTGTTTTTGGCAAGCAGAACTTGAAGTTTGTTTGTTCCACATCACACACTGACACAGGCACACTGCCAATGCCCGAGTGCAAACATTCGGCTAAAGAGCTACGGCAGTGCTGGCAGCCTTCCTGCTATTTTTGTTGTGGTGCCGAAGGATCTCTGACGGCAGCACTGATCAATAGTCCTGTCACCAGCATCGAGCGATGGTGAGCCTGTAATCCAGGGAGAGGCGAGCTCGCAAATGCTTGGTGCACGCCAAACGCATTTGCGCCCGCTTTGACATGCAGACCTTCATGCTGCTGCATCGCTCTTTTTTGTTGTGGTGTTGTATCGCTCGGCCTGCCGCTGCAGTTTGGCATGGGCGGCCGACATTGTGATGTCGAGATCGGAGGCAAACCCAATCGCCAGCATCTCATCCATGTCAAACTGGAAATGCTCGCAGGTCACATCTCAACGCGCATGAATATCAACATGCACTGTATCCAATGTTGCCGGTAGTGCCTCAGAGTAGTGCTAGGGACTCCAGCCATGACTGATGTTTGCCCAAGCGGGTGAGCAGATTGGTGACTATGAAGTGCTGCACCTTTTGGGGCGCGGCAGCTTCGGGGTTGTGCCCCTTGGCCTTAGAATTGGAGGCCCTTTTTCGGAGGGGCAAAATGAAGCCGCGGCCCCGCAGCTTTGTACACTTTTTTTTTTTTTTTCAGTGTCCAGTTAGGACTTGGTCGCGATAGCTTTGGCCCGTGAATTCCTTTCTCCAATGCATTCATTGACGTCAAACTGGATGTCCAGGGAACCGTTTGGCGCCCGCTATTTTGTTGCAGGCTTTTGGTGCGGAATCCGCACCACCAGGAGCAACTTGGCTCAACTGAAGATCACACCCGTGTGCTTGCCAGTGCGCCCTGCTTGGTTCGAGGGTTCTTCAGATTCTAACTGTTCTTCTTTGCCCGAGTTGAAGCAATCACGCTTGACACGTTTTCTTGTCAACATGGCAGTGCAACATGCTCAGGGTTCTCGGCAGGAAGGACACCATTTGGCTTGACCTTAACCCATCGGGCCAATTCTTGCAATGCATCTGGCAGAAACTTTCTCTCGCAACAGGGAAGTCTGATGACACCTTGTTGGCCGGCAATACCATATCAGGTATCCAGAGCTTCACTTCCAAAAGGGCAAATCAAGACACCACATTCCCAATCACAGCTTTTGGCACTAGCTTGCAGACAGTGTAGTCACAGGACCTTTAAGACAACCTTCTCTTAGCTTGCCAGAATCGAATTTGATTCTGTTTGCTTTGCAGCCTCACATCAGCAGGAATTCCTGCAATTTGGCTGTCACCGTGCAATGCACGGTGCATCGAGGAAACAACAAACATCTTTGCAATGGAGTTTTGCTTCGCCATCCGCATGTGCTGTCTGCGTCACCCATGCCTCCTCCGAAAGCTCACTTCGTTTGATTGCTTCGTCGCTCACTTCTTTGGGCCTGCTGAAATTCAGTCCCTTCAAGTGGAGTTGGAAGGACTTGCCAGTGTGTTGCTGGCATTTGTCGTTGGAGACGGCTGGTGTCCAATGCGCACCCTTAGAATGAGAATAAAGAACATGTGCCTCGCAAGCACGCCAAGAACCCAGAGCCTGTGTTTTGGTTTGCTACTCGCTTTGCAGGGGGGGTTGCCATGGCCAAGGTTGGCGCTGAAGCTGGTGCCTTGCGACCACTTGGATGACAAGGAGGCTGCCAACGCTGCAGCCACCACCATGGCGGAGGCTGGGGAAGCTGGGGGAACGGCGGAAATGTCGGGCCTCCGGGCAGGCCCAGCTGTTGCAGCGGCTGCAACACCCGAACATAGTGACCTGCCACGATGTGCGGCAACTTGACTGCAATCGTGGGTTGGGACTGAGCGAAGGTTCGAGTTCATCAGCTTAGGTTCAAACACTGCACGTGATGTGTTCAATGCTTTAGCGGTTGTTGTGTGTAGGCGCGCGCACGCCATGCGCCGATTGACACCTGGCACAGCCTTATTGTTGAGCAGGTGCTTGGTGCTGAGCTTGAACAGAAACGCAGTCGCACAGCCGGAAGTTGACACAACAGGTGGCCGCTTGCAGGGTTCCGTCGTGGATGGCGTTCGTGTGTTCCTTGGCGTGCCATACGCAGCCCCGCCTCTCGGGGAGCTGAGATTCAAGCCGCCACAGCCGCCCCAGCCTTGGGCTGGCCTGCGGAAGAGTCAGGAACCGCCGATCTGCATGCAGCGAAGGGGCGGCAATGAGGATTGCTTGTACCTCAACGTGTTTGCCCCGACTGAAGCCGCTGATGGTCTGCCGGTCCTTTTGTGGATCCACGGTGGTGCTTACGAGGTAGGATCGAGCTTGGGTCAGGACAAGGCTGTGCCCCTTTTGAAATTCTACATGAATCGTGGCCAGCCAGCAATCCTCGTCTCCATGAATTATCGCCTCAACGTGTTCGGCTTTCTGGGCAGCGAAGCGCTTCGCCTCCGCGATGAAGACTTGTCAACAGGCAATTATGGTCTGCAAGACCAAAGGGCTGCCATGCAGTGGGTGCATGAAAACATTGAAGCTTTTGGCGGTGATGTGGCCAGAGTGATGCTTTTTGGGCAATCAGCTGGTGCAGGCAGTGTTTCTGCCCACCTATGTCTCGCTCTGCAGGTCTTTTTTCGCGTGCACTCATGCAGTCAGGTGGCTTTAGCCCATGGTCTGCAAGGGAGATGCGGGAGAGTGAGGAGTTTTACCAAGAGATTCTGCAGGTCACGGGATGCGCTGATGCAACGTGTTTATTGGAGTTGTCTGCAGAAGAGTTGAGATCTGCCTACGACAAGGTGTCGAAGAGAGCGGCATTCGATGCTTCCGTGATGATGGGGAGCCCAAGCATTCCGTCAAGTCCTAGCATTGATGGTGTTGAACTGATGGCCCACCCGCTGGACATGGCCAAGGCAGGGCTGGTGCAGAACGTGTCCATGGTGATTGGCAGCACAACGGATGAAGGCGCTTTGTTTTTCAAGCGCTACTTGCTGAATTGGCGTGACCTCCGCAGTATTTTTCTGGAGACGTACGCGCCCATCTCGGGTGTCGAAGCAGCCTTGAATGCCATGAGGACCTACCTGAAGGAGAAGCATCCTGCACTCCCGGGCAAGACGCGCGAGTGGTGGGCTGCGCAACGTGTGTTGACTGATCAATTTGCTGCCTGCACGAGCCGCCTGGCGGTTGCGTCTCTGGCCAATTGGAGCTTCGAGGTCTTTCATTATGTTTTCGCCCATTCCCAGGGCGTGGCCGCTCACAGCTCAGATCTGCCCTTCCTCTTCCGTGCTCTTCACGGTGCGGAGGAGTTGGAGCTGTCCGGGGCGATCGATGACTACTGGCTGGGGCTGGCCGCCAACAACACGCCCATGGGCGCCGAGCCCAGTTGGCCAAGGGCCAAAGGCAACTCCGCTCCCTTCATGCAGCTGGATGTGGCCAGCGGCGGTGGCCGTCAAGTGATGTTCGAAGGCTTTCGGGAGGAACAGTGTAACTTTATGCTTTCCTGGCTTGAAAAGGCCATGCGCCCCAACGATGGGCGTGATACCCAGACCATGCCAGTTTAGGTGCCAAACTTGGCCTGAATGACGTACTTTGCAAGAACGAAAGGTGTCGAGTTCATGAGTTGCTTGAGCGTTTTTGTCGCATTCTCGTTTGTGCTTGTGAGCTCGCCCGGCCTAGGTTTGATTCTGCACGGAGGTGCGTATGGTTGGCGTTGGAATTCATGGATGGCGGTGCCGCCCTTAGTTCTGCGACCGTGCTTCTACACGACATGCTGCAGTCAGCTACTGCGTCTTTGTGCGTCGTTTTGCCTTGTCCGAGTTGCAGATTGTCAGTTCTTTGCCGGGTTGCCGGGTCAGTCGCCATGCAGAGCCTCGCGCAACACGAAAACCACATGCCAACGGCTCGTGTCAGCCGTGCCGCTCCAGGCGATCTTGGGAACAAGATCAAGGGCCGCCGGATGAACGGGCAGTCGCCCTTCGATGGCTTCTTCCTCCAGCAGCCTGGCTGAGAGTGGAAAGAAGTCCAAGCCGCCTTCAGGGTGACATTGCGGGCATCACGAAACCTTGCCATGGTTTCATGGAATTTTTAGGGTGTGCAGCTGAGGCGCGTTCTTTCTGCAGTTGGGAGTGCCTTGAACTACATCCACTCGCAAGGAGTGCTGCACCGAGATGCCACTCGTGCGACAATTAGTGCCGCAAAGTTGCTCCACCATACATGACCTACACCTAGGAGGCTGCTAGGCCACGGACACCGAGAAAAGTTGGGGGTTTTGGTGTGAGGTGAAGCCACCAAACATCCTGGCGGATCGCAAAATGAAGAAGGTGAAGCTGGCAGACTTCGGCATCTCCAAGATCCTCGAGGCCTCCGGCCACGCAGGCGCTTCAAGGGGAGGAGGTCTGTGGCAAAAGGGCGGGGGGGGGGGGGTGGTTCGGAAGGCTTGCGCTTCGCGCCAGAAGCGGACAAATGGTCGCCACCCACCCCAAATCCTGAGATGGTGGCTTGAAGACATATGGGTTGCGGACTAATGTATCAAGCTTTGATGGATGCAACACGCAGCCGCACAGTGTATTTGCCTGCATTGGCATTGTTTTGATTGGGTTTGCCCCCGTGCTTCGTCAACGAAGCGATCAAAGCAAACTGTGCAACGCCAAGGTCTGAATAGAAAGGTTTTCAGGCTGCAGTTCGGGCGCGAGGCACTGTGCTGGGCACTCCGGCATACATGTCCCCCGAGCTGGTCTCGGGGAAGCCCTACGGCTCCGCCGCAGATGCCTGGGCACTGGGTGCCTGCCAGGGCCCAAAGCGGAGGGGAGCAGGTTGGATCTGTTTTGGGGGGGTACGAGGTCTGTATGAGCTGGCAGCACTTCAGCGGCCCTTTGATGCATCCAATCAGCTGCTTGGCCGAAGGGGTTGAAGGCTGAGATTCAGCCCCAAGCCCATGACGAATATTTACGAATTTGCAGCTTTTGCTTGCCCCTTGTCCCCAGGGCAGCGTGCCTTTTCTGAGGCTGGCGCTGGTGTGGCAGATCGTGCAGCATGAGCCTCCGCCTCTGCCTCCAGACACGCCTGCAGATTTGAGTTCCATCATCCGGGGGCTTTTGCACAAAGACCCGCAGCGGCCTCAGCCTTCAGGTCCAGTGGGTTTGGTTCGTTTCATCTTGATAAGCTATCACGTCGATGGAAGCTGTTCCGAGTGAGAGGTTGCAGCGGCTGCGCCTGGAAGACCTGGGCCTGGACGCCGAACACTCCCAGGCTTGGGGCGAGGCAAGGGACGTTGTAGGCGTAGGCTGCTCGACCTGAGGTTCATTCTGACAGCTCACCCGGCTGGGAGCCCGGTATTCGATTCAGCATGCGCTTGGGTCAAACGGAAGCCTCAGACTCACTTAGTTGGAGCTTGTGAGGTTCGGCTTATGCGCCCCCGCCATGCCCCTCTTGGAGCGAGTGGTCGGGGGTCCGGGCCTTGGCTTTTGAGTTGTCAGCCTTTTCTTGGCTGAAGGAACGCGACCTGTGACCCAGGCTTTCGCTGTGCCGGAAACCGACCCCAGCCGCGCCAAGGTGCAGGCAACCTGGAAAGACATCATGTGAGGATGACTGCTTGCTGAATCTACGCATCACTCAATTAGGGAAGTTTGGCCTCTGAAATCTCAGATGCTACGTCGTATGCTTTGGTTTCCAAGAGCGTCAGCTTTGTTTTGGAGTTTGGTGTTGGTTTTGTCAGTTTTGCCTTGGAATGACGAGGTGGCATCAGATGAGAAGGTGCCAACCCCACCGGTCGCACCGTTGGACCCGATGGCCTGTGAGCAATTGGGAACCGAAGGCGCGCACAGCGCTTGCAGAGCACAGGGGATGGAGGGATCACAGCAGGGGCTGGGCAGGCAGTGACTTGGAAGAAGTGGTCCTTGAAGACACGCCGATCTCGCCAACAACTCCGCGAACGCGGACGGAAGGCAGGGTCAGCCCATGGGAGCTGCCTTGTTTTGCTCGCCGCTGTATGTGTGTGCGTGGCGGCGCAGTTGGAACACAGGGAACGCCCAGTGAATGCGGAGCAAGCAAACATCATCCGCGTGAGAGCCAGATCCGGTCAAAAGCAGGGACGCTGGAAGCCACTCCCGAAGCTCCGCACACCGAAGGCCCTCAATCACTTTGAGACAAGCCCTTCTAAGGAATCAGCAGACAATAAAATGCGAAAGGCACGGGGCCTGGGGGGCACTCAGCGAGTTATTCATAACCTGCCCCCTGACCATTTGCCTGCCTGATTTGTGCCTACTGCCGCTCAAATGCCAGCTGGCATCTCTCTATCGAAATATGTACACACACACACATATATATATATATATATGATAATAATAATAATACCAATACTACTACTACTACTACTACTACTACTACTACTACTACTACTACTACTACTACTACTACTACTACTACTACTACTACTACTACTACTACTAGAATAATAATAATAATGATGTATATACACACATATATATATATATAATTATTTTTTTTGAACTTCAAGGTTGGGCAAAACCGATGCACCAGGGCCAGATCTGAGATGAAGATATCCCTTTTCGGGATCTTCCGCGGTCGCGTGGGACAGGCATGGGCACGGCCTTTGCGGAGCGGTCCCCGGCCACGCCCCGTCGGAACTGGCTGAGCCGTCTGGGCCGCGGCCTCCGTGCCCTGGCCGAACCGAACCCGAAAGGCATGAGGGTTGGAGGAGTGTCCCTGGTGCAACACGACTCCTTTCTAGGTGCAATGTTGATTTCCAGGGGGAAGAGGGAGGGAGGACCCTTCTCTGGTGGGGAGGCAGTTCTGGCCAAATCCTTGATCTTTCTGACCTTGGTTTGCCATGGTGGAAGCATGTGGGTCTTTGAAGCTGTGAGATTTGTCAGTCTCAGTGGCAGTTGGATGTCTGCAAAGCAATTGCGCCGAGGCTATGGAGTGTTGGGAGGCAATGGCCGAGAGCATACAGAACAGGCTCTCGTCTCGGCTTTCACGGAGGAACTCACCGAATGAGCCGGCAACGGCTTTGCTCAAACCTGGCCCCCGCCACGCGCCTTTGAACTACCTTAGGGTTTTTTACAGGCGCCAGCTCGGGCTTGCCTGTCAGGCAGGCGGGTCAAGAGCAATGCCGGAACAGATCGCTTTTTACATGGATGTTCGTTAGCTTCCAGGTTGGTGGCCTGCGCCAGGTGGCCTGTTGACTTTCTCAATGCACCCTGCACATGCCACGATGGCAGGCACCCAGGCACCCTGGACCCCGAACACGGCACGCTTTTCCATGGTGAACCTTAAGAGCCGGCAGGCTGGTTCGACCACCTGTGCTTAGGAGTTCGTTCTTCCTGCGCTGCATGGGGGGAGCTCCCATTTGAGAAGGCCATGTTGCAGTTTTGCGGTCTCGCTGGTTGGCGAAGGACAGTAGTTCTCACGGTACTTATCACGTGGCTCCTCCCTTGTTGCATCTCGCACCTTACAACGACGCTTGGAGCAGCGCGAAGCGCAGCCCAGGCTGCAAGGCTGTGGCATTGGCCTCCGCGCTGATTTCAAAACAGCAGTGCATTTGCGGAGGGCGTTGCGTGCCTGGCGATGGGGGAATTCTTGGGGCAGCGTTGAGTCTGGACTGGATGTTCAGGGCATGCGGCTCATGCCAGGACTGGATGCTGCGATGTCTACTTCATCGGACATTTGTTCCTTTTCAGCAGGCCGGATGATTGGAGTACTCCAGGGAGCAACAGAAAGCACGGCAGAAACAAGGTACAGAGAGCATGATACCACACCCTTCACATGGCACTAGTGTGCTTGCCACGTGACTTTTGCGCGCAAGGAAAGGCTCGTGATTCCCTTAGGCGAGCTGGGAAGTTCACCGGCAATGCACAGCTCGGGGAGACTTGGCTCAGAACTTGGCAAGGGTTGGGCCAAGCGAATCGGCAGAGCTTGGCATGTGGCTAAACCATGGGCGAAAGCAACAGCCGCCATGGCCGAATTTGCATTTGTGGAGGGGTGGGGTGCAGCCGAGGAATGCCCTGGGCGTTGCTTCTGGCTGCAGCCTTTCTCCCGCGACCAAGGCGCCATTGCAGTGAGAGACTTTGCCAGTTGGACGGCGAAGCTTTCCTCACCGGCCTTGGAGCGTTCTTTGCCTTGTACCTTGTGCAGGGCTTGCAGCGCGGACGAGCAGGCCTCTGTCAACTACATCCAGGCCTCAGGGGCACTCCCAGTGCTGGAGCGCGTGCGCCCACTTACCGCCAGGTGCCACGCGATGGCTCCAAAGTCTTTCTTGCCATGGAGCCCGGCATTGCGGCAGGCGCGCACCCTTTGATCGGGCAGGAGCAGCCCGGCGGTGACTCTGGCAGGTGCAGCTTCCCCTGCGCAGTATGCAGCGCAGGCGCGCGAGAGGCAATCTTAGTTCTTAAAGAGCCTGGGCGTAATGTTGGCCAGCTAAGGAGAAAATCGTGCCCTTGGCACACCGCCAGATGCTATTGATTCACAGGGATTTTTGCGTTGCTGCTCATCTCCAGGCGGTGCCGCTGCGCGACGCCCGCCGGGCGCCGCCGCGCTTGGGCCAAGAGGCTGCGCAGCTGCTGCGCGCGGCCACGCGGCTCCTGCCAGAGGAGGGCCGAGGGGCCGAGGGGCCGAGGGGCTGCAGGCTTTGCCAAGTTGGGCCTTGACGGTTTCCAAGGGGAGCAAAGCGGCTCCCATGATGTTCGCCGTAAATTCAGTGCTGAATCTGGGCTGATTCTTGAGGATGTGGCCTTTTGGGCTAGGCTGTCCTCACTTTTGGTCGCTTATGGCCAGTGAACATGGCATATTGCAGCCAGCAGCTGCAGGACTTCTACGACTCGGGCAGGGTAGTAGCCGAGTACTACCAAGAAGTCCGCGATGCCATAAAAGACGCCACAGGCAGGCACTCGGCGGGCCCACACAGGAAAATCATTGTGCTGTCGGAGTGCAGCAAACAGCTTGCGGTCAAATAGCGGTTTCCGGCAGAGGACATCTGTGCCGGAGACAAAATTTTGCGTGTGACTCTTTCAACAGGAATCGGAGGGGAGCTGTCGCACAGCACTCACAAGGCAGTCGGAATGACCGGAGGTGCTGTGGAAGTCATCGTTTTCCACCACATTGTCCGGAACGAGGCTCTTCAGGCCAGCCCGGGCTTGGACAACCGTGGGGCTGGCGTCGGAGGATATGCCAGGAGACCTGGAGGGTGCGCAGATGATCATACGCGGCCGCGTTCGGCGTTTCCACGCAGGAACGCGCATGCGGACTACACGGCAAGAACCGCAGACTGTGCCTCAGAATTCTTAGCGATGTGTGGCCGCTTGCAGCAACCCATTTTCTCACTCGTGGCTTTGGCAAAAAACACGGCAACGTGTTCAGAGAGACTAACATTCCCGGAATTTGGTGTCTCAGCTGCAGGTTGGTGCGGCAAGGCAGTCGCTCAGCCGCATCACGGATCCGGAGGTGCGCAGCCGCTGCCAAAAGTGCCGGTTTGTGCTCGTCAATGCCTGGCGGAACATCAGCCCTTTGGCTGGATTGGGTTTCCGGGTTTCCCAAGGCTCACTTCCGACCATGTGAACGGGTGTCCGGGTACCTTTCCCACGTAACTTGCCAAGGTGACCTGCCGGTGCAGCAGCACCCTTTGGCCGTGTTGGATGCCCAAACTTTGAAGGAGGACGCGGGTGCTCAGCCTGCGGGCCTAAGTCTAGGGGACCAAGCTCGAGTGTTCGATGTGCTAAAGGACTTGGTGCCAGAGAAGTGCTGAACACGCATTAACTTGCGATCACACCACTGCACCACTGCACCCCTGTGCGATATTCTGGTTGATTCTTCGTTTCGATGGATTCACGTCTGGCCAGGAGGACCTGGTGACGGTGGAGCTGCGCTACGCCACCTTCAGCTCCGAGTCCCTTCAGCTGCGCCCGGCGCCGCGGCACCGGTGGCTCTATGCACCAGGCGCGAGCGACGCGCCTCTGCGTTGGCTGCGAGCGCGTACGCGCTGGCCGGTCAGGATTTGCACCTTTCCACATTTTGGCCCTGGAATGCATTGGGTTTTCCTTGGAGTGCCCTGGTCTTCCTGAGCGAATACCCCTAGAAGTGCTCAGACAACTGACTAGATGATGAACACTTGGCACTAACATCACAAACCCCTTTCTGGCGCTTGCTCCATGCTCCGGGCCGAAGCTGCGAAGGCATGGAGAAAGATGAGCTTCTGCTCTTCAAGCAGTATGATTCAGATCCGAAACTCGGCGGCCAGACTGAACGCACGCTTGCATCATGTGTCCCTTCATTTTTTTTTTCGGGGCTGTTTGTTTGCTGTAAGCATTTTTCTTCAGAAGCTGTTGGGATGAAGGACACAGCCGCAGCACGCCTTCCACTGTGCCCTGGATGTGGCAGTGCCGGGGAGCCCTGCGCGGGAGTCCATCGAGGCCCGGGCACTGTTGAGATTTTGAGGTGCTAGGCAATGGCTCTGAGCATGCGTGTTCGTTGGTTTCTCTTTAGGGATCCAGGATGTTTTGAACTGATTGGTCCCAGATCCATTACCTGAAACACAGGCTGAACTGGGGGAAGGCTTCGAGCATCTCGTGCCAAGGTGAATCCTTGCAAGAGCTTCCCAAGACTCGCCTTGCGAACGTTGCCGCATTTGTGATTCAACACGGCACACACGGAGCCACCACGGCGTTTGTAGCAACAAGCTGGTGACTCTTTGTGCCAGGGGGCTTTTTTAGTCTGGTGTGCAGCTAGTTTTGAGCAGTCTGAGGAGGAGAATGGGTGGGCAAAGGCTTCCAAGAGCGGTTGCCAGTCGGGCCGTTTCATTGCCGAGTATCAAGTTAGTTTTATTCCAACTCCTGCACGCTCCGGAGCACAGCATGAAGACCAGGTTGGAAGGCCTGCCCAGGTTTTGCTAGGAGGAAGGAGCCAGGCCTCAGTCGGAAGTCATCATTTTCGCAACGACATGCTGCATGCCGGACTTCTGCGACACAAAAGCCACACATACTGCACAAAGCTGAGTCAACTTGAGTGGCCGTGCCTTCCCAAAGGGAAGGCGTGGCCAATGGGCAAGCAGCTGCTGGGAAGGGCGGCTAGCTCACTGGGACTGGAGCTGCATGGCGGAAGCCTGCGCCTGGTGCTTCCCCGCCTGACACCGCGCATGTACACCAGGCCTCGCAGGGGGCATGCAGGGTCTAAGTCCTTTGTGCTGGCTGGCCGAGAAGCTTAAGCGCACGAACACGTACACATATGTGCAAGCACAGACACGCATTGACACGGAGCGCGCACATATATACATACACAGAACCACACGCACAAAAGCAGACCCACAACCAGGAGCACAACCACAAACACCACCAACACGAATACGAACACAAACAAGAACACGAGCACCAGCAATAGGACAAGCACCAGCACCAACACGGACATAAGCACACAAACACACAAGAACACAAACCGACAAAACAGCCACACAGACAAATGCACAACACAAGTAAACAAAGAAACAACCAACAACAAAAAGCAAAACAAACACAAAGAACAACAATCAAGAAACAAAGAGCAACCCAACAAAAAAAACAACAACAAGCAAACAAGAAAAACAACCAACCAACCAACCAACCAACCAACCAACCAAACAAACAAACAAACAAACAAACAAACAAACAAACAAACAAACAAACAAACAAACACAAAGAAACAAACAAACACAAAGAAATAAAGAAACAAAGAAACAAAGAAGCAACAAACCAAACAATCAAACAAACAGACAGACAGACAAACAGACAAACAAGCAACCAATCAACCAACCAACCAAGCAAACAAACAAGCAAAGAAACACACAACAACAATCAAACAAAAACACACACACACACACACACACACACACACACACACACACACACACACACACACACACACACACACACACACACACACACACACACACACACACACACACACACACACACACACACACACACACACACACACACACACACACACGAACACACAACAAACAACCACAATCAACACCAAGCAACAACAAACAAAGACGAACAAAGACGAACAAAGACAAACAAAGCAAAAAAAAGCAAGCAAGCAAGTAAAGCAAGAAAGCAAGCAAGCAAGAAGGAAGAAATAAGGAAACAAGAACTAAATAAAGAACGACAGAGAGCAAGAAAGAAGGAAAAAAGGAAGCGCAAAACAGACCAACCACAAAAACACACACACACACCCGCAAACAAACAATCACCACGAACACAAAAACAAACAAACACAGATAAACAATCAAGCAGGCAAACAAGCAAACAAGCAAACAAACAAACACACAAGACAAAACAATCAAACAAACACAAACAAGCACGCAAACAAGCAAGCACACAAGCACACAAACAAGCACACAAACAAGCGCACTAACACGCACACAAACAAGCACACAAACAAGCACACAAACAAGCACACACACACACACACCCACACCCACACGCACACGCACACACCCGCGCACGTACACGCACACGCACACGCACACGCACACGCACACGCACACGCACACGCGCACGCGCACGCGCACGCGCACGCGCACGCGCACGCGCACGCACACACACAGACACAGACACAGACACAGACACAGACACAGACACAGACACAGACACAGACACAGACACAGACGCAGACGCAGACACAGACACAGACACAGACACAGACACAGACACAGACGCAGACAGACACAGACACAGACACAGACACAGACACGGACACAGACACAGACACAGACACAGACACAGACACACACACACACACACACACACCCACACCCACACCCACACCCACACCCACATGCACCCACTCCCACACACAGCACGCAGCACGCAGCACGCAGCACGCAGCACGCGCACGCGCACGCGCACGCGCACGCGCACGCGCACGCGCACGCGCACGCGCACGCGCACACGCACGCGCATTCGCACTCACACGCACACGCGCACGCACACGCACACGCACACGCACACGCACACGCACACGCGCACGCACACGCGCACGTGCGCGCGCACGCGCACGAGCACGCGGCGCAGGCCCACGCGCACACGCAAGCGCACGCGCCCGCGCCCGCGCCCGCGCCCGCTCCCGCGCACGCGCACGCGCACGCTCACGCGCACTCACACGCACACGCACACGCACATGCGCACGCACACGCGCACGCACACGCACACGCCTACGCACACGGCTACGCACGCGCCCACACAAACGTCCACGCACGCACCTGTGCAACAATTGCCCACAACGACAGTTTCAGAAAGAGAAAGGGCACGAAATGGGACATCCTGACATGAATTCTTTTGAATGCTGTTCCAAGGCCTTTGGCCCTGGCCTTGGCGAAGGCGCTACCGGAGCTGGAAGTGGAAAGCTATGATGCGGACCTCACAGACGCCGAGCGGCAGCCGGTGAGCTACCTGCTGCCCATGCCGGCGCTTGGCAAGTTCCGGGCCTGGGCGGAGAAGTTGGGGGTGCCGGAAGGCGGGGGGTTGGCTTAGGAATGTAGTGCGTGCGGTGACAAAAGGGGAGTGCTTGGCCTGTCTGCTCGTGAGGCAGGCTCACATTGCCGCCGTGGCTGGCAAACATGGACAAGCGGAAGCGGAAGTAGCTTGACAGCTTTGGTGACATGTGCGAGAAGATGTGGTGTGATTCGTCAGTTAGAAGTTCTGCATTAATATGTGAGCGATGGAATCGGAATTTGTTCTGCTTGTTCTGAGGGCAGCAGCTGAGGAATCTAGATGAAGAACAAGTGCAGCCATTGTTCTTCCAAGAGCCCAGCGCAAAGGACCTGATGGAGTATCAGAAGCAGGGCATCCTTTTTGGCATCAGCCGCCAGGGCCGCGTCCTTCTTGCTGACGACATGGGCTTGGGCAACTCCACTCGCTGGGGTTGGGCATAGGGTTTGGTTGCGAGACAGACCATCAATTGTCTCGTTTTTGTCAGTTGGCTAAGGTAAAACCGTGCAGGCAATCGCCATTGCCTTCCAGTGGCGACAGAGCTGGCCGATGCTTGTGGTGTGCCCTTCGTCTTTGCGAGGCGTTTGGCTGGAGCAGTTGGCGCGCTGGACGCCCAACGTCACAGCGCAGGCCATCTACTCGGGGGCCACGCCTTTGGACCCGAGCACCGACGTGGTGGTGGTCTCCTACGCACTTTTGGCCAAGTGCCCGGCTTTGCAGAGATTCAATGGCCAGCGCTACAAGATCGTCATCGCAGATGAATGCGTGGATGCTCAGGGGCGAAAAGTCCAAACAGTATTGTTGGGGGTGCATGTCAGGCGCATATCAAGAACAGAGGCACAAAAGCGTAAAAGCCAAGACGCTTTAAGCGCGCAGTGATTGAATGCGACCCCTCACCTGCCGCCCAAGTCATAAACTTACCTGCGCGAATGTTGAGGATGATGGAGCTAGTGCTTGCAACAAAGCAAAGGGCCCCATTTCAGCAATATAACCAGCTTTGGGGAGAGTGGGGAGGGGGGGGGGGTCTAAACTCCTACAGGAGCGAAGCTCTTGTACGACTCTTGAAGTGTGGACTATGGACCTGCCACGCCCTTTTGAATGAACTCAGCTGGCTCAGGGTGGCTGCGTGGTTCTTTAGTCGCAAAGCAAGAACTTGATTTCCATTTTTTTGCTGCAAGGCCACTACATCAAGAACCCTGACGCACTGCGGACCCAGGCCGTCATGCGACCCGCCGAGAAGACCGAGCGCCTGATCCTCGTGAGCGGTACGCCAGTGCTGAATTCTGCCATGGAGCTGTGGCCTCTGCTGCGGCTGTTGGACCCAGCCATTGGCGATAAGCAGGACTTTGCGTCCAGGCGGGCCCTTGCGTTCAAAGTGGGCAGGGCTTCAAAAGTGCAGGCGGTTTTTTCTCAGAGGGTCTGAGAATGTCTGAGACTACTTGGAGGAAGTCTGTTTGTCCAGGTATTTCAAGGGCACGAGCAAGGACTTCGGCAAGTTGAAGTACGTCAACCCGGTCCGGGAGCAGGAGCTAGGGCGGGGGGCCTTGTCCAATGTCCTGTTGAGCACTCCAAGTGTCGTGTGGAAATCTCCGGTTGAAACCGATGCTACCAGCAGGTGGTTGTAAGTGGCATGGCCCGCCCAGGAGCTTCACCACTACCTTTTCGCCACGGTTGGGCTGCGGCGGAAAAAAGAGGAGGTGCTGTCGCAGCTGCCGCCAAAGCGGCGCCAAACCATCAGACTGCGGGAGTCCGCGCTGACAGATGCCACGGAACTCCGCGATCTGGAGTCCAAACTCTTCTCCAACGCAGCTTGAATGGGACGGACCTGCGAGTCGATTTGGCCGGACGGACGCGTTCCAAACATCACTTCCGTAGGCGCCGATCGTCGTCATAGCCCCGAAACCCGACTAGCCCCGCCCACCCTCTGTAGTTTGTTTTTTCTACTTGTGGCAGACATCCGCTTGGGTTGCGGATCATCATGCAAGTATCAATGCAAGTATCGATGCGCGTGTGCCACACGTCAAGCCCCCAACTCAGGAACGTTGGGCGAACAATGCCAGCATGAAGGACAAATCAAAGGCCCTTGACCTGGTGATGCGGGTGAAGAAAAGGCAGGCTGTCGCGCAATTTCTCGGGGAGAAGAGTTCTGCCGTGATCCGGGTGATGTTTTTTGGGTCTAGAACGTGTTACACATGTGTCTTTGGGAGGACATGCCTTGCCTTGGCACCTCTGTGTTGCCGACCGTGCGAGCCCTGAGGGCGTGCGTGGAGTATGTGCAAGACCTGATCAACAATGGCTGTGGGAAATTCCTGCTTTTTGCCCATCACCACACCATGCTTGATGACCTGGAAACAGCTCTGCAGCAAAGGCGTGCTTTGCGCTCACTTGCGTCAAATCCTTGTCCCAGATTGAGCTGGCAATTGAGTAGCGCATGCTCACACATATTTTTGACATAGTGCACATTATCCAAATTTGCTCACGTGTCCTTTTGTCGCATGTTGGCGTTCTGGCCACTAGTTCACAAGCCCAGGGCTTAAATTTGTTCAAACACCCAGTGGCCACATGAATGCGTTTTGCTTGGCAGGCTGGGTGGTGACTATGTCAGAATTGACGGCAAGACGTCGCAGCAAGCGCGGCCAGATTTGGTGCGCCGTTTCCAGGAGGAGTGGGGGGCTTTGGGCCGCACATGTCCTGCAAGCCTGGGCACATGTTTGAACAAGATACGGCCCAGATGTTGAAAAGGCTGATGGGTGCCCTCAGCAGACCCCGTTGTCAAACCCGAGCCGACAATGAGAAACACACGGCTGGCTACTTGAGCAACAAAGCTTTGCTGGCTGGAGCTTTTAAATGTCATGAAGGAGAGGAAGGGAACGAGGGGTGTGTTTTGTAAGATCTCTGCTGGTTGACGTCGGTATGGCACTAGGCTTGCCTATTTGTTTTCCAACCCTGGGGCAGGATCCGCACTGCCATGTAGCCCTTCTTAGCATCACGGCGTTGGCAGAAGGCCAGACGCTGACGGCGGCAGAAGCCATCGTCTTCGCTGAGATGGCTTGGGTGCCAGGCTTGATCCTCCAATGCGAGGCCAGTTGAGCGGTTGACGTGGCAGTGGGGTGGGGCGGGGTCCTTGAGCAAGATGTGCAAAGATGGCCATGGGTTGCAGTGGCCCTATGGCGATCCCATGTTGGGGGGGATGAAGATCCACTTGCCGCCTATTTTGATGTTCACCAGGGGTTTCCTGGGTTTTGACAACCACAGCCAGATAGGTGTCGTGGGCAACCCATGGGCGATGCCCGAGCTGGCAGGGAAGAGCCCACCGGATCGGGCAAACGCAGTCCATCTTGATCCAGTACCTGCTTTTGGACAGCTCCAAGACCGATAGCACTTGCATGAAGCTCTTGGAGGAGGGGTGTTCGAAAAGAGGGTGGGCCAAACCATGCAAGACCAAAGGTTGATCCCTCGGTGCCTATCCTCGGCCAGGAGAAGCACCGGCATGCTGGAATGGTGCTAGACGGAAAACATGAACAGCTTTTCGATGAAGAACTTGGCTTGGAGGAGCCGTTTTTCGGTTTTTGCCTGGTGATGGAAGGAGCAGTGTGGGCTTCATGACCTGCAAAAGCAATCGCCGTGGGCTTCTCATCCGCGGTCGTTCGGTCGCTTTGAGCCGGGCTCCGAAGCTCAGCGGTGGTGTCAGGTTTGTTTCCATATGCGCAACGAACCACGTAATTGCGACGTATGTGCGCAAGAACACTTGCTGCAAATGTTGGGATTCTTTGTCCCGCGGCTAGACGGACCATTACAACGCTTAGTTGAAGACGTTTGCGCAGAGTGACTTGTGCATGTTCAAGCGTTAAACAAAACATGCTCACCCCAAAAAAAGGCCCCAAGTTGTTAAGACGTCAAACAGGGTTTGCAAATGATCCTATTTTTGGACGTGGAAAGACGTTTGCGCACACCTAGGGCTGAAGCGGGGGAGCAGGTTATTTCATGAATCAGGTCTGGCAGGCTCGGGTGTTCAAGCAATCATTTCTGACAGCAGCGCCAATCATGCTAACACTTGATGGCCGACCTCCTCCGCTGCTTGCGAGCGCCTCAAGACATGGAGCGGGGAGGTCGGCTGGTTCGTTTGGCAGTCAGTCCTCGCAGCAGGCAACTGCAGCGGTAAGGCGCGGCGTTTGTGGCCTCAGCCTTTATTTTCAATCGACGAATGTTTTCAGAACACCCCTGCCCGACGGAGCGTCCACCAATGTCAGATGACGATCAGCAGCGCGAAGTGCCAGAGCGCCTGAAGTGACTGTCTACTCTTCGCCGCTGCAGAACGCGTGTCCGTTGAGTGACAGCTCATCGTCTTGCCTGGATCCTCGGTTGCTGCGGGGCCAACCTCTGAGCATGTAGAAATGTTTTTGTGAATCAGGTCTGGCAGGTTTGGGTGTTCAGTCGATCATTTCGTCTTCCCAGGCTCACTCGGCGGCCGCCTGTGAAGCGCCCCTCGTTTTTGAAGAGCGCTGCTTTTGTTCAGGGCCAGAAGGAGGTTGCCTGTGACTGTTGCGCAGGGGTGTGTCTGCGTAACTTCGGGAGTTGGCGCGCGGGTGCGCAGCCACACTGGGAGTGACTGTGCAAATGTCAACCTGCCACGTTGGTTGGGCTTACCAACGCGTTAACTTGTTTGTGACGAAGGTTCTGCGAGTCCAGCATGCAGGCTTTTGCGCATTCATGTTTGGAAGTGGTCCGCTTTTTGACACGCAAGTGACCCTCTAGATGCAGGAATGATGTGTGACTTGTCGCCGGGTAATCCTGACCGCCGGACTTCTCGTGTTCTCAGATAAGGAGCCTGTCCGATCTTGCGGGAAGGTAAGATGTCGGCGAAGGGCGCCTGTCTTGTTGCCTCCGTAGGTTCCGCGCCCCCCGAGGCAACCAATTAAGTTTCATCATGTTGTCTCTTGGTCTCTTTTCAAGCGTGTTTGCACCGCATTCAATCATTTTTTGAATGCTTGCATTGATCGCCATGATCCAGCGATTTTTGGAGCCACGACCTGGACCAAAAGCCTCGCCAGGCGGGTCGAGAAGTGGTCCGCCAAGGCCCTGCAAAAAAAGCAAGGCCGCACACAGCCGCCCGGCTTTGCAGTTGGGACCCGGTTGGCCCAAATGTGGTGCTCGGCTGAGGCGATGGGAGCGCATCCCAAGTCACGAGCAGAACCCGCAGCAAAGTCGTGGATTGCGACGGGCAAAGGCAGGGTAATCATGTCAGAACACAAGATTCGTCGCCGGGGTATCAGCGCCAGGCAGCGAAGGCGAGACAGCGCCGAAGGCAGCGCCAAAGGCAGCGCCAAAATCGGCGCCAAAGACAGCGAGGCCCAAGCCAGCGCCCTCCAGGACTCTCACATGCACATTTCTGGGCATTCTTCAGGGGGAAGGAAGCCGTTGCTGCCAGCAAGGTGAAACGCTGAAGTTGTCTTTGGGTCTGGGCGAGGAGTATCAAGGCAGAGCTCAATGATGGGGAGCAATATGTCATTCTGCAGCCTCTGCACTTGGGTGGCTGCCTTAGTTTTTGCCAGTCTTGGTGCCCAACGCGTAAGTTTTGCGGCCGGCGGCGCCTTGTTCACTCTACCCGTGAGTCCGGCCCTTTGGTCCGGTGTGTTGCTCCCTGTGGTTTCCGAGGCCTGAACCTGAGGATTGGGCAGAAGTATGGCAGGGCCGACCTGGAAAGCCGTTGCAAGGGGGACGCCGCCTCGCCGCAACTGGGGCTGGGGGTTGCCAATGAACTGCATGCATGAACCTCGGAGTCCAGTGGCTTTGAACCCCCGCGTCCCTTTTAAGCCCCGAGATGCCCAAGGATCAGAAGTTGGCACGGCTGGGGTTCTTCATGAAGGAGGGCCAGAAGCTGAAGCTGGCCCCGCTGGGAGCGAAGCTCGGCCGAAGATGGGGGTGACATGTGAGGTGGTTAGTTTGGGAGGTTTCCCACGCAACAGACGTTGGTCAACACCAATGGGATCCCATTTTGGAGTAGGTGCACCACCCATTGGGATGTTCACTGGGGGTATGGGGTTTTGACCCGTAGCCATATGCAGCCGTGGAATTTCGGCCAGCCCCTTCAAGGGCCTGGTGCAGGGAGGTCTGCGGCTCTGGGAATGGGCCCACATGCGAGGCCAGCTTCGTTGAAGAGGAAGAGGTAGCAGCTGCAACCGCAGTGGAGCAGCGCGCATGCTGCTTGCAAGCACAGGTCTTGATCAACGCCTTGTGATCGTAGTATCTGCAATGTCACGCTATCGTCACGCTATCGTTTGTATGCTGGATGCAAACACCGACTGAGGCAGTGATTTGCGGCTGCTGATTTTAGCTGGCTGGGCCCTGGGCAAGCCACGTGAGTCCTGTGGGACGCCAATTTCGGTGTAGTGAAAGCCAGAGCCCGGTGCCAAAAGGGCAAAGGTATGCGGATGCTTCTCTTCTGGCACCGGGGGCTTTGCGAGATTTTTGGGTGTGCGACACCCTGGGGGTCCACCGGAGCCCGCGGGCCTGGTGTGGAAAAGTGACGGGCAAGGGCGGCAAGGCTGGCCGAGACTCCGAGAGCATGGGGTGAAGCGAGCAAGATGCTTCAATGCTTGCGGGTTGCAGGTGCGCGCAGTGGCATTCTTCGCTCCTTCAGCGACATCAGTCTGCTTGGACCGCTTGCCGGAAGTTCTGTGTTCTGCACGCTTTTGACCACTTTGAACCCACATGCTTCGTGGCAGTGGCAAACGCGATCGCCCAAGTTGCCGTCCTTTGGCCGCTCCCCGCTTCGCTCCATCGGTTGTGTCGACTGTGCAACTGCTCCAGGAGGACCTGGCGCCATGTCAACCGACAGCTGCAGAGGCTTGCACGAGATGCAATTGACCTCCATGGTGGACAAAAGTATGGAAGCCACCTGAAGCCACCTGAAGCCACCTGAAGCCCACCTGAAGCCCACCTGAAGCCACCTGAAGCCACCTGAAGCCACCTGAAGCCACCTGAAGCCACCCTGAAGCCACCCTGAAGCCACCCTGAAGCCACCCTGAAGCCACCAGGAAGCCACCCTGAAGCAGCCACCTGAAGCAGCCACCTGAAGCAGCCACCTGAAGCAGCCACCTGAAGCAGCCACCTGAAGCAGCCACCTGAAGCAGCCACCTGAAGCAGCCACCTGAAGCAGCCACCTGAAGCAGCCACATAGTCAACACAAGCGGTGTGTGTCGAACTCGTGTTTCCAGACATTGCCTCCGGTTCGCCCGGTATTGGCTGAGGTGGCTGCCGCCATCCTAACGGCACTGGCCTGTGCGGAGGACTGGCCTGCAGAGACGAGGAAGGAGGCAGTGACCGTTTTGGGTGGACAGCGGGTGGCATGCAGGCACGGGAAGGAGGGGCATTGGTGGTGAATTAACGCACGTTCCTGGGTGCATTCTGCAGTTTGATGCAGGTGTGTGCCGCAGTCAAGGTGGTCGAGGCAGCAATGTTCTCCTCACCAAGAAAACGGAGACGCATTGTTCCCACCCGTCACACTGTCGTCGTAACACAATGTCGTGCGAATGGCGCGGGGTTTTCCTTGGACTATGCTCGGATTGTGTTGCCCCCGATTCCCAGAACTGCACCCACACACACACACACACACACCACTTGTCACTCTCCCTGTCTCTCTCACAAGCCCGCCCGCCCACCCGCAGCCACACACACACACACACACACACGAGCGCTGCATTCTGCAAAGCAACAATTGTGGCAATGTGTGATCTGAGCAACAATGAAAACCTGGGCACATCGGCAGATGAAGGTTGGTTGGGGACAGTCCCAACCACCAATAATCGCAACTGCCTGACACAGGCCCCTTCAGAACCAGGTTTTGCTTGTGACTCATTTTGCCCTTTCCGTTTTGGCGGTGCCTGTTGCAGCTCGAGACAGCGTAGTTGCCAATGCGTATCGGCTGATTGTTTTACGGAACAGGTATGCAGGCATCTCGCCATGGACGAGCGGGTGACCCAGAGCGATGCGTGTTGCAACTCTTGCTGTGCAAAATATCACCGGCTTGCGTGTGAGGGGTCTTTAGACGATTTGTTCTCTTTTTTTGGCTGCCGGCTGCAGGAAGGGTGCAGCCGAAGGCCTGATGGTGGCCATGATCGCCGTTGTCCCAGGATGCGTGAGTTGAGCATTCCATGTGCCCCAAGCAAACGCTTCAGCTTGGCAAGGGCAATGCTTTTGTCCCAGCCAGCTGTGCCGGGCTTTGCGGCCTGAGGCTTCCAACGCCGATGCGGAGAACCCGGCTGCGAGCATGCCAGGCGCAGAGCTCTCTCGGGCATGTTGTGAGCACTTTGGTCTGGGTGCAGGGGCTCCGGCCTGGCTGCAAGAGGAGGCGAGCGGGCGAGCGGGCGAGCGGGCGAGCGCGCGAGCGCGCGAGCGCGGGCTGGCGAGCTTTCCATCATTTTCTTTGGGTGAAAGCGTCAGGGGCATGGCATTGCGTGAGTGTTCTGTTGAGAGATGCCGTGCCGGCTGCGACGTGATGCTACTTAGGTTTCTGGAGGGGCGGTTGCCGAGATGTGAGGGGCACATTGTTCCACGATTGCAAGGTGAAGGCTTGTCTGCGGGCGGCCGTTCCTGGCTCGGAAGAAACATCGGGAGTATATAGGTTGAGGTGAGACGGAGGCCACGTCAAAAGTAGGTGTGAAGGGCATTTGCGCCTCATGATTCACCGTTCCTTTTGTCACCTGGGCCCTGAAGTGGGCGGATGCCTCTAGAGTAGGGTTTCTCCCCAGCCGAGGGCTTCTGCGAGAAGATGAAGAGCTCTTTCTTGAAGCCCTGAGCTTGTCGCCTGACGGCAAATTGAGACGGAAAGTCTGAAAGTCTCACAGTTGGCCGGATTGGCCCCATATGCGTATCATTTCAAGGCCTGCTTGTGCTCACTGAGGGTGATAGACTTCAGTTCCCACTTTTGATGGCCTCCAGAGAGAATTCCAAATGCGCAAGTGCGCCCCTAGACGGCCCAAAGAGTCGGCCATTTCAGCATGCGATTGCTTCGGAAAGGGTGGCACGCTGAGCGCCATGCGAACCTGGCTTCGGCTGGCAGATGAGTGGCCAAGAGCAAGGCGCGCTTGCTTAACGTCTGGCCGCAAACTGGCGAGGCTTTACTTGAGGTTTACGCCTGCGGTCAGAAAAGTGGTGGCTGCCCTCGACTCCCTTCAAGTCCAGCCTATGCAAGATGAGCATTCCTGTCCAGCAGGGGCCACTTTCTCAGCTAGCAAATGGTGTGCGCACCGAGAGCACTTCAAGCAGGGAGGCGTCAAGCAAAGGGTTAGACTGATTCACTGCATGCAGCCGGTTTGCGACATGGGCGGCGATAGTGCCCAGGCCCTCCTCGCGTGCGTAAGGGTATTCAGGCATGCCAGAAGGTGCTCCCTTGCCCAATTCTTTCAATCTTTTTTTTTTCCTCATTTTTTTTTTCTGGGGGGTGGGGTGGCAGATGCGACAAATTCGCATGCCTCGGCCCTTTACATTCTGGAACGTTGCATTTGTGGCCTGGCCGTGCAGGCGATCGGCCGCGCCAGCAGGCGCAAAGCTTTGCCCTCTTGTGTTTCACTTGCTTGCGCAGTCCCGTGTCGACGTTGGCAATCTGAAGGAATTGAGGCGCCAAGCCTATCTAAGGAATTGGGGTGCTTGCGAATCATTGTGCGCCTTTCCCACATCCCAGAGGATATCTTACAAGGGGGTCCACTTTCAAAAAGTTTAAGCTTTTGGATAGGAGGCGCGGAAGAGAATCCTTGCGATCAGGCCGTCTACCGACAAATTGGGCACCAGGCTTGCGAGCCCAAGGGGAGAACAAAGCAGCTATAGCTTGGTGTGTGTCCTCGTCAATTCACATGCATGTCACGCCTGCGCACCTTGGAGTTTTCGGTCAAAATAGCTATATGGCTACCAAGTTAGCGAGTTAGTTAGTTGGCTAGTTAGCTAGTTAACTAGTTGGATAGCTAACTAGGAAACTAGTTAGTGAGCCAGTGCTTGGCAAGTTTCAGAGTAAGCGAGGTAGCTGGCTAGCTGGCGTAACTAGCTGGCTTGTTGGATGGTTAGTTTGAACGTGCTTGTTACCTATTTTCTTTAGTTGCCAGCTTGCTTGGCTAGCTAGCTGGTTTGCTAGTTGTTTGCTCAGTCAGACTTAGCTAGCTAGCTAGCTAGCTAGCTAGTTAGCAAGTTAATTAGTCCGCTAGTTTGCGAGTTGGCTTATGCACAGTAAGTAGCTGGCCAGTTCCAGCGAGTAACCTAGTAGTTAGCCAGCTGATTAGACAGTCATAGGGAGCCAGGTAGCCAGCTAGTTTGCAGCTAGTGCCAAGGTAGTTGGATAGTTTGAGAATTAGCCAGGTGAGTTTAGCCAGCTATTTAAATGGTTGGCTAGGTTAGAGCTCGTCAGGTAGTTCGCTAGTTTTGACAGCCTGCTAGTTCAAACCTTGGCAGGCTGCTGTCAAATGACGGTGCAACGTGAATTCGAAGTACGCGGAGTTTTTCAGGGTCGACCCTGCAAAAGTCCACAAAGCGAGTTCAACTAGCATCGGTGCCACGGAAATTTTTGGTTCAACTTCCATGGATGAGTTTTACTTGGACCTAAGGCCTCCTCTGGGCTGCTGGGAATTCCCGCTGAGCCGAGCGGAGAAGCGCCCAGGCAGCAAGGCAGGCAACGCCCCTCCATGCCCGTCATGATCTCAGCAACTTAAGGGGTAAGCATCAGGGGTGATGCTTTGCTTTTGCCTGGAGCACTTGCCTGAAGCACTTCTTTTCAGATTGGCGGGCTCATGAACCAACAGAGAATCCCCCAAGGTCGTTGGTGATGCTTGTGAGTCACTTGTATGGCCTTGCTTTGCCCGCATATGCGATCCCAGGGTGCATCTACTCTTGGACCTTTACAGCATGGAGGCTGGAGCGGTCACTTTTCCACTGAAAGCCAGACAGTCTTGGTTTTCAGCCTCCAGAGCTGACTCCAGAGAGGCGATCAGGTTGGTTCTGATTCTTTTGCAGAGTGGGCGTGTTTTCAGCCTTGTCAAGGGCTGGGCAGTTCAACTCCTGCCGTGTCTTGGGCCCCTGGCAGTTCGTGTTACGGGCGATGCCACATCTTTCGATCAAAGCCGAACCGACACCATTCTGCTTATTTTCGTGCGCTTGTCCGACTCGTGCTTTTCCTATAAGTTTGTTTTCTCGGGTTTTTGGCCGTTCTTCGGACCAATAGGGTCAAGGTGCTGGCCCCGCAAACCCAAGTTGAGGATGCCTTCGGGTGGGCAATCCATGCTTAAATCCATATTTGGATCGCCGGCAATGCCAGAAATTGCTTCCACCGCCTGGTGGTGCCTCTCAAGAATCCATCAATGATGCGTGCCAAAGGTTGATATGCAGACATCGTTGGTGAACTCCGCACTGGTGGGCGGATGATCGAAAGGAAAGGATCAGGCAGACGAAGGAGGCCTTAGCCTCCCCCGTTCGACAAACCCGACTGATAAGCCGATGGATGTTTGAGACCCCGCAAAATAAGCCGTAGACTTGGCATGAGCCTTGCGTCGGGTAACGGATTCGGCTTACCCATACTCAGTGCCTTTCTACCTGGCCAGGGAATGAAAGCTGCATCAAAAAATGGAGTTCTGCTTTACATCCTTGTCGGGCCGGTGCCATTGATAAAGATGCAGTTGGCCCTCGCGGGCGTGCATATTGCTTGGTCAGTGCGGGACTGACTTTAAGTTTGTCTGAACATCGTCAAGTTAGGAGTTTCACATTGAATTGTGAGACGCACCTTTTGCTGCGCATGTTTTGATTCGGGAACGTGTTGGGTCGAGATAGGCCCATCCTCTCCGGCTTTCCACTCCGAAAGGAAGCTTTTTGGCATGAGGATGCAGCCCGTGTCAGGTGCAGGCCTGCCATTTGGAGGTGGCCAAGCTGAAAGCCAGCGATAGCTCCAGCAGCGGATGCAGCCGCAGGACGTCAGCCAGCTCAGGCGCGCGGGGCCTGGGCTCCCGAGGGCTCCGGGGGCTCCGAGGGCTCCGGGGGCTCCGGGGGCTCCGGGGGCTCCGAGGGCTCCGGGGGCTCCGGGGGCTCCGGGGGCTCCGAGGGCTCCGGGGGCTCCGGGGGCTCCGGGGGCTCCGAGGGCTCCGGGGGCTCCGGGGGCTCCGGGGGCTCCGAGGGCTCCGGGCCCGGGCTCCGGGGGGCTCCGGGGCTCCGCGGGGGCTCCGGGGGGAGGGCTCCGGGGCTCCGGGGCTCCGGGGCTCCGGGGGCTCCGGGGCTCCGGGGGGGGCTCCGGGGGCCCTCCGAGGGCTCCGGGGCTCCGGGGGCTCCGGGGGGGCTCCGGGGGCTCCGGGGCTCCGGGGGCTCCGGGGCTCCGGGGCCCGGGGGCTCCGGGGGGGCTCCGGGGGCTCCGGGGGCTCCGAGGCTCCGGGGGCTCCGGGGGCTCCGGGGGCTCCGGGGCTCCGAGGGCTCCGGGGCTCCGGGGGCTCCGGGGGCTCCGGGGGCTCCGGGGGCTCCGGGGGCTCCGGGGCTCCGAGGGCTCCGGGGGCTCCGGGGCTCCGGGGGCTCCGGGGCTCCGGGCTCCGGGGGCTCCGGGGGCTCCGAGGGCTCCGGGGGCTCCGGGGGCTCCGGGGGCTCCGAGGGCTCCGGGGGCTCCGGGGGCTCCGGGGCTCCGGGGGCTCCGAGGGCTCCGGGGGCTCCGGGGGCTCCGGGGGCTCCGAGGGCTCCGGGGGCTCCGGGGGCTCCGGGGGCTCCGGGGGCTCCGAGGGCTCCGGGGGCTCCGGGGGCTCCGGGGCTCCGGGGCTCCGAGGGCTCCGGGGGCTCCGGGGGCTCCGAGGGCTCCGGGGGCTCCGGGGGCTCCGGGGGCTCCGTGGGCTCCGGGGGCTCCGGGGGCTCCGGGGGCTCCGAGGGCTCCGGGGGCTCCGGGGGCTCCGGGTGCCAGGCCAAGCGACGTCCCTCGAAGGCCTCGAAGTGGCCCGGAAGTCCCAGGCAAGCGGTCGAACGAACCCAAGGCATTTTGTTGATTAGCTGACGAGCCTCGGGTGAAGTTGACGCGGGAGATGATAGTTTCAGGGCACAAGGTGGACAGAGGATGCTTGAGACTCTTCACGTGCAGCGCACTCGTGGTCTACCCACATTGGATCTTGGCTCAAGCACCCTGGACACACTGGGCCGGACGAACCTTTTGGACGCCTTTGAGCTTCCCACCACTGCGCTGGTTGCAGTCCAAGCAGCAGCCTCATACCACTGTCCGTGACGTAGGAGATGTTGTCCCTTGGAGTACTGAGCATGAGAGCATGAAATCTCACGAGATCTTGCCCAGTCATCAACTTTGAACCGTCCGGCAGCCACAGCACACGGGGGCTGACGTTTCACATCCAAGCGCTGTGCCATGGTGTTTGGGGGGCGGCTCGGCTGATCTGCTTCTTTTCAATTTAGCACGAGTGGTTTGCAAAGCGCACCAAGCAGCATGAGGAGGGCCATACGTGTCCCCTGTCTCTTCCCAAGTGCCAGGAAAGCAGGATCCAAGCGGCGCAAGTTCGGAGCCGGGGCGCTGGGCTGCTGGTCTGAGATCCGTGTTGAATTGTTGCGAGGTGGGTCAAGGGCCGCGTTGCGTGAAGGTTGCAACAGTCCGCCAAGGCAGAGACGATGACTCCGAAGATGGGGAGGGAGGCAACCTCCCGCACGGTTATGCAAAGTGGGCAAGCCCTCGCCAAAAGATCTACAGCGGCTTGGCAAGTGGGAGTCAAGGAGCTTGCTTATGCTTACGCTTGCAAAGATGCAGACCTCTTTACTACAGGTATACTAACCTCAGAAAAGACTGACTGGTTCCTTGCGACCATGATTCTGTCGAGCTTCTTGGCTTCTAAGTTAGTGCTGGTGCCTGCAAAGCAACAAACACGCCAAGATGCACTTGTCCAGTCTGAGCAAGCCTGAGCTTCCATTTGCATTGCGTTGCTGTTCGTCCAGGCTTAGTCATCCTCATTGTGGATACTTGGCTGTCGATCCTCAAGGGCTCCTCAAAGCTTTTGAGGGGTTTGAGGGCGGAGCAGGGCTGCAGGGGCCCTGCAGAGTGTTCCCTCCTGAACCCAAGGATGCAGACCTGACAGCAAAGACCGAGCAAGGATTGACGCTAGCCCGCAGAAAACAGATGCCAGGTTCTTTTGTCCATTGGTGACTCAACCAAGGACGAATGAAGAAAAGTTCGCAGCTGACATCACCACAATCATCTCCACTGCTTACACCTGCCACTTGGCAGACTTCATGCAGCTGGATCCCTTGGCTGACGTTGCCACCAAGATGTGTTTTTCTGGTTTCTCGGGGCAGCGAGCAAGCTGAGATTATTCAAGCCGAGGGGATGTGGAATTGTAGGCTTGCCAAGGGCGGTTATGGATTCAAATGTGCAGGGCACATGATACTTGACTCATTTGGGCTGTCTCACCAAGGCATCTACGCTGTTGAGATGGTCGGCCGGCTCTATGTATTTCGCAGGGATGTGTTCAGAAGCGCAATGCTCTTTGATTTCTTGATTGCTGGGGACTCAGATTCGTCTGGGCAGTAGCTCTTGCCCAAACTGGCAGCAAGCAGCTTTTATAAGAATCCACAACAAAACTGGCGGTGCATGCAGGTTACCGCAGATGTAGCTTTGCTCATTGGCGACTTGACGTTAGGACGGTGGGTTGAGCAGTGGGGTACCCCGTGAGATGAATTGGCAATAGCCTTCAGTTTTGTTCAGCTGCCTGCAGGAAACTCTCCGCAGCTATCCTTTCTGCGGATGTTCCGCTTGGCACGCTTATTTCGCCCCTTGGCGGGACTTTCGGCTTTCGGCACCGTCCGGGAGCGGGACCCCGGCGCGGCAGTGCTCCGTGCCTCAGAGCCTCAGCCGTAGCCGCCTTAACCGAGGCTTTGTCAGGGTGGTGGGCATGTTCCCAGAGCTGCAATTCCTGGTGAAGGGCTTCATATCCTCTTTCTCGGCAGTGTTTTGGGGCTCCATCCTGATGTGGGTTGCCGCTTGCCTCAATGAGTCACATGTTGCTTGCAGGCAATCAGATTCTCGAGATGGCATTGCAGCCAACCAAGGTTATCCTCATGTGGGCAATCATCGCAGTTTACTGGATTCACCCTGTGAACCAAAGCATCATGAACGAGAAGGCAGAAGGTTCATGCGGTCGGGAATGCCGCGCATGGGCTTCTGTGTGGTATTCAGCAGCTTGCTTGCAATTCAGGTTGAGAGGAAGTTGCAGGCATTTTTTGTTTTTCTTGCATGTTTCCGGCCAATAAGAGTAATTTCAGGACATCCTGCGAGTTTCATTGGGCTTGGTGTGGCAAAGCTGTTTGTCATTCAGGTGATCACCTTGTGCCAAACTGTTGTCTTCGGCGACAGCTGGGGCGCCACCGCCATCGAGACTGAGACAGAATAGAGGCACCAGGCAAAGATCGTGCAACATGCCACGCCGTCTTCAACGATCGCAAAACCAAGGAGATTATCGAGCGAGAGCCATGGACGCTGCTTTTTTTCGTGCGCACCTGAGCTATTGCATGCACATGCAAAGCAACACACACAAAGAGACACGCATACCCAAACATGAGGCCGGGATGTATGGGACGATCACGCTCGGGGTGCTGTCACTTGGCTGATGTCTGGCGCGCGGGTTTCTAGGGGCTGTGCTCCGATGTTGCTTCAAGCCGCTGGGACGCGGTGTTGCAGAAATTCTTTGCGATCAGTCGGCCGCGCATAGGAACCTCATCGTCGCTGCCATCGTTGACAGTGGGGCCCAAGCTCGTGAGGAGGCCTTGGAAGCCAAGAGGCGGGCCCCGCACCCTGGGAAATGCGAAAGAGTTGACGGGGAAACAGGTTTTCTTTTTTTTCTTCTTCTTCTTTTTTCCGTTTTGATCAGGCCGGCTTGCATGGCTTGTTGTACTATTTCGCCCCTTGCGCTGCCAACGTTCGACACATTTGGGTGACCATGTGTGGCCAACCATGCCAGGTTCATGCCAATGGAAGGTTTGCGTTCAAGGTGTTGCAACATGATGTGATGTTAGAGTTGTTGGTATTGAGTTGTTTGTGCTTCGCATGGCGACTCCGCACGGCTGAACCCTTGTGCTTACTTTCTTAACATTGTTTGTGGGGTTGTTCTGGCTGGAGTGTGCTCGTTGCAGGAGAAGGCAGCGAATTGAGGAACTTCGCCAAAAGGAGCGCCAGAAGAATCGTTTGCTAGAGATTTGCCAGATCCTGGATGACGATGTGCCTCAGCCTGAAGGAGGCATGCATTTTCATGCACGTGACGACGCAAACCACAGATGATGCCACAGAACAATGTGGTTGACACGACTGGCCGGCAAGCATGTGTTTCAGTTTCAGTGCGCCAAGGAGAGTGGCTCATTGTCCTTCGCCGCGTGGCAGCAAGTAAGGGCACTGCACGCGATGAGTTCGTCGCAGAAAAAAAACATGCGCGGGTAGCCTTGAGAGAAAACGATGCCTTGCATTTTGATGATCGGCAGGAAGAGCTGCTGACAGGGTATGAGAAGAATGCAGAGTTCAGGGCTGCTATGAAGGATTGGAGCGTGCCATACATGACATTTGGCAGATAATTTCTCGCCTTCCATGCTAGACCTATGCCTGAAACTCAAGTGGCAATTCAGGGATTTGAAGTTGCGGCTCAAGTTTCTGTTGATCCTTGGAAGGATTTTTTTTAAAACTGGACCCTCTATATGAATTAATCTCAAGTGTTTCTGATATCCGGGTTCCCTATTTCTTGGGGAGGACTACAATATCGACCGCCGGGAGCTGGACGTATTGTTCCGGGTCTTCGATGAAGATGGGGCAGGACAGACCCTTTCTTGGGAGCAGCAACAGTGCCACGGTGCTTTGCTTTAACTTGGGCAAGTTTTTCCTTCTTGCCCTGCCAGGAGTGCTGGACTACCAGGAGTTTTTCAATTTGATTGAATCTCTGCCGCACCTTTTGTTCGTTTTCTTCCCTGGTCCCGCAATTCGGCCGGCGCTGCGCTGCTCCACCTCTCCTTGGGTCGTCCAAGCATGCCAAGGACAGTGCAAGAGAGCAGGCCTCTCAGCAGGCCCGTCATTGGGGGTTGACATCCGCATCGCGCGCTGATGTTTTTTTTTTTTGTAGGGAGGGGGGTTTCCTTGTGGTCATTGAAGGGGCCGGCCAGAGTCATCGGGCAGGATGCTGGGCTGGGCATTTGCAAGCAATATGTTTGTTGAAGGGCGGGCGGGTCTTTGCTTGGCTTGCAGGCAAGGCCAACTTAGCAACAACGTGAAGGCAGCCCTAATCAGTGCCGAAACCAGCGATGCCTAAACCAGCCTCCTGACAAGACAGCCAACTCCAAGGCCATCCCCAACATCCGCATTGAATCTAGGAGCATCCGAATGGGTTTTCATTTCATTCGCCAAGCCCGAAGCTATGGGGGGCTGTGGTGGTTTTGGGGCTAGGCGGCTTGCGTGCCGCATACCCTCAGGTGCTGACCTTCGTTCGCTTCGCTGTCATGGACCTGCGGAAGAGCATCGAAGCTGGGCAGGACCAGCTGAAGAGCCACCCGCCGCACGGGGTCGCAGAGTAATCAGTCAACACTTCCTTCGGCCTTTGTGCCCAGTAGGACCTGCAATAGCACAGTACAAGAAAATAATGTTTGGTCTTTCCAAGAGCTGGAATCGGAACGCCAAGTTGATTCTTATTTTCTGCAATATGAGCATTGAATTGTGAGCTTGTATGTGTTCGTCTGTTTCTCGACAGCGAGGTTTTGGTGCGAGCCTATTTGGCGGGGTCCCTTAAATGATAGACACCGCAGAGAGGCGGGCGGCAAGTGAAGCTAGACTCATGCAAATACCACCCTGTCCAATTGCTCGACCGCAACTATCTTGAGCACTCACTTGTCGCGGGCAATGCTATCTGAGGTGAGCTGGATCTCATCAAGGACTTTGTTCTTTCGGCGGAGCACTCCTTGAACGAGAGGATTTGTACGCCTCCCAGTGGTGGAATCCTGCCTCGCGTGTCGGTAAAATGACCGGAACTCCTCATGACACGTGCAAGCACTAAACCGCGCGTTATGACTTGGACGCTTAGCGTTTGTCCCATATTTTCTTTCTGCTATCAAGGCTTGTCCTTCCCTTTGGCGTGCCAAGTATGGAATTTTGGGGAGACACGCGGGCGAGGCATGTTCATATCACGGCGAGTCGGTGATGGCAAAGATGACCCAAGGTCGCTTCTCTGGGGAGCCGCCGCCGACACGAAAGGCCCTCCAGCCACTGCCTGCTGCCAAAATGATTGAGCAGAGCAGCCTCTTGGCTAAACTCTATGCTTCATGGACTTAGACAAATATAGCATCTGAACTTTTTCATTGTATGCACCGTTTTCCGCCAGCAAATTCCAGAGATCTGGAAAGCTTTGTGACATCGCAATTGGGCAACTCCGGCTTTTGGGCCACATGTCTCTGGTGTTGAGCAGGTGCGTCCGGATGCCACATGGTTTTTGCCACATTCGAGGCCCGCAAGCCGTAAGACACAACGGAGCAGAGCAGCTTGGCTTGGATGGGGCTGTCGGTCTAGTCGATGCACACTGCTGCTGATAACTTGTGGTGCAAACATGCCCGCCAGGAAGAGGCTACGCAGCTGCACTTATCAATGCTTCAGGGCTTCAGGGTCGTTTTGACAAGCTTTGAGCGATGCATTGACATCATCAATGTGTTCCATGTCGGGGCCTGGCTTGCGCATGTTCAACCCGGCCGGATTGGCTTACTTATAGAGGTGCAGGGGTGGCAGCCGAGGAGTTCGCCACGGACCTCCCGCTCGCCCTCAATGAGAAACTTGAGCCCGGGCCAGAGCAAGTCCGGAAGCAAGGAGGTCAAGCCAGGCGGATTCCTTGCTCGATCTTGTAACCGGCTTTCCCACCTTTGAAGTCCCATGGTTCAGAGAGTTTAGTTTTAGATTTTCGTCCCCCTAGGGGCAGGCCTAGGGCAACCTGTTCAGGGTGCCAAAAACCCAAGCCACGCGGCTGTCTCACAATGGGCCTGTGCAGGCATGGCTCTCCCCAAACCTACCGGGAAGCCGCCGTGGGAGAGGCCGGGGCGAAGACGCTCCTCGCAAAGCATGTTCACTTGAGCCACAATCAAAACCCGGGTAAAAGAAGGTTAGTATGGGACACTCCCAACCATAAATAGCTGCGGCCGCCTTCTTAATTCTTTGCATGGTCCTTTGTAGACCATTCTAATACCAGGTTTTGATTGTGACTCACCTGCGCCTATGGCCCCGTTTTTGAAGCTGATTGTGGGGTCCATGCCCCGAAGCCGGGCGAGGGCGCTTCCCCAGCAGTGCATGCCGCCCGCTCGCCGCCCGCCATGGGCCTTGCGACGAGGGGACTCCTGTGGTTTGAACTGCGCGCGCGTTGTGTATATTGTTTTTACATTGGACCGCGGGATTTGCTAGCTTCGCAAGTGCACTTTGCCTTCTTCTTTCGTGCTGAGCTGTGGCGCGTGAGAGCAAGAGAGGCACGAAGGCGGCGCGTGTGTTTTCAGACTTTTCATGCTTCAGACGCACACCAGGTCCACACCATTGTGCTAGGCAGACGGCCACTTGCCACCAGTGCCACAGCTGCGGAGACATGCCAAAATGTGTCAGACGCTGTCAAGTCTTGCTATGAAGGTAAATCCAGGCAAGTTCACAACCCATTGTTTTGGGCGCTATCAGGCGGGTATATTACATAGAACAATGAATAACTAACTAAACATATGTACACACACACGTATATATATATATACATATATGTATATATATGTACATATCAACTTATATGCACAAACACGCGGCGAGTGCTTGTTGTTGTCAACTTCACATGTGTCTGGAGGATTGCGCTAGGCAGGCTCAATTTGAGGGGAACATGAGCAAGCTCCAAAAGGCACGAAGTAAGGGGCTTCCGACGCTGGCCCTTTCCATCTTCCTCGCACCATCAGAATATCGTACTGCACACGAGTTGCACTAAGCATCCGGCCGGCCTCTTTCTTCGGGGAGGTCAAGCGAAGCGGACAAGCCAGCGCCTTTTCAGCAGCTGCTGAAGATGAACCGTGAGCTGCTGAGAGGCGCGGAGATGTGTGGGGTCCTGCATTCTGAGGCGTGCCCCCAGGAAGACATTGGCAATGTGAGCGGGCAAGACACACGTCGGTTTGGTGGGTCGCAGGGTGTTGGAACATGTTGGAAGATGTGGGTGTTGGAACATGTTGGAAGATGTTGGTTTAAATGCTGCCGCAAGCCCGCCTCGGGGGCAGTGCTGAGGAAAGAAAACAGAATAAAGTCTGTTCGGAGAAAACATTTTCTCCGGACTGCAGTGCTACCAGCCTAGAAAATTTGCAGACATCCCCAAGCCCAACACCCAGACACATAAGCAGCCTGAAGCAGCCAAAGAAAGCCACCAAGTTAAATTGCAACTCGGCTGTTTTGGGCAAAAGTGTAGCCGTGGGTGTGCGCTTGACTTAACTCATTGTAAGGGTCCACTTGGGAAACTCTTTGGCCCAAGTGAACCAAACCAGTCTTGTCTTGATTTGAAAATTTATCCCCCCTTACCCTCTCTAAAGCCATGTACGCTCCGGGCTATGTGGGTGGTACCGTCGCAGAGGCGAAGGCAAAGGCAAGGGCCCAATGGAGAAGTACCTTGTGAGCCTCGTGCACCTGAGGAGCACTTTTTTCTCAAGTGCAGATGAGTTGGAGCAGGCCCCGAGGCAACCCGCGGGGCGGCGCAGGTGCCGAGGGCGGGGGCGTTTCTAGCTGTCCTGCCGCAGGAGGACGCCACCATCCTCCCATGCCTAGGTTCTAGGCCCGCCTGGATGACAGCGGACGCTCGGCTGGAAAAGGCCAAGCAGGGCTCCTGGACGACGCGGAGGCGCTGCGCCCCTGAGGGGCAGCATTCAGACGCGGACCCGCAAGGTGGCGGAAGGCCTCTACCAGTTTGACGACGCCCGTCGGGCGAGGTCCCTGCTTCGGGGAGACCGCCTTCGCTGCGTGCCGATTGCGGACGTCCAGCGCCTGCCCCGAAAGCCCCAGCTGAAGCAGGGGGGCCTGGAGCGCATTGTGGAAGCGTATTACGCGAAGACAACGTATGACCACCTGGGCCGCAAGCGACACAGCATTCTGAAGGACCGGCCCCTGGGGGAAGAGCCCGCTGCCTGGATCTGCCCGTGCTGCTCCATGCTGTGGGTCAAGAGGGGGTCCAAGAAGTGTATGGGGCGCGGTAAGAACACGCGTCAAGAACACGGATCCCATCGACACATCCGACAACTTGGCCACCCTGGAAGTGGATACGGACCCGATGGTGTGCGAAAACTTGGAGCAGGCCAGCTCCTCCCTCCTGTCAAGGCTGAGATCCGGCATAACGTGAGGGAGCTGGACGAGACCTTCCTAGGAAAACCTTCGCCAGGACAACTCAACCCACCTTTCTGTAGAGCCTCCCCACTTGCCACACTTGGAGCCCTCATCTTTGCAGACCGGTGACACGAAACACCCGTTCCAGGAGTCAGATTGGGAGGATGCGTCTCTGGCCCCACTCTGATCTCCCCAGAATCCACCTTCTATGAGGAGCGATCCATGGATGGTGGAGGGCCCCTTCACCAAAGCGGAAGCTGCGGAGATATGTGGATGTGCGCCATTGGCGGGCACTGACGAGATGGACGCTACAACCTTTTTGGAGCTGGAAGATGGCCTGCACCACATCGGGCAGGCCCTTTCTTCGCCCTTTGCTCCCACATCCGTGGACGGGAGCATCTGATGCAGGCGCAGGCAGGCAGGCGGACCACGCATGGGTTGCTGAGCCCAGTGAAGCTGGGCCAATCCGCCCAAATTGGCACTAACCGCTTTCGCACGAAAAAAGGGAGTGCATCCTTTGAGTCGTTGAAACTTTCAGTAGCGCCAATGTGGCGCTTCGATGAGTTTGAGGCATGCATTCTTCATGCCAAACCGCAGGGCCCATCAAGCGTAGAGACATCGCCCTCACCAAGCACCAGCACACCCCCCAGGGCCCCCCTGTTGAGTTTAGAGCGTATGTTTGAGTGCGTGTTGCTTCTCGCGGCGTGAGGGTGGTACTTATCAGTCAATGAGGTGTCAAAATTCGACATTGTGGCATGTGAAAGGGTCCTTGATATTTTTTGGTGGGCGCACTTCTTGCTCGATTCCGCCCTGTATCAGGATGAATAAGAATTGCTGTTTGGCAAGCAGGCCAATCTAGGCTTCCAAGAGCGACGAATCAGAACCGCAACTGCGACACCTTGAAACAAAAAATCCTATGCCAGCCAGTTGGCTCACAAGCATCCAACTTCACCGGCAGGTATGAGAAAGCTGCTGGATGCCAACCAGGTAGAGTACCATGCCGCTTGGTGGCACCAGAGACGCTGGTTGACCAGGGGAAAATGGATTGGCGACGTCGGGCCAGTCTGATTTGAGAGTCGGGGATGCGATCAAAAACCTTCAGTTGCCAGTGCAGAACTGCCCAGCTTTCCAGGATATTGCTCACACGGCGGGCCACAGCTTGTCTCCACGTCACTCAGAGGCGGCGCATGCGCGAACGTGTTGCGCCGCGCAAGTGGACTTTGGGACAGTTTGTATTTGCATGTTGCATGTGTGGCAATTGATGTGCCAGGCGGGAGAGGATCGGGATGGAGCGAGCAGAATGGACTCTTATCGGGATGCAGCGACGAGACTGGACTCTGTTAAGTCAGTGGGTGCGACCTCCGGGACGGACATGATCGCTGTTCGGGTGGTCCAACCAGAAGGCCCGCGATTGGGATCTCCTGTTTTGTTTGCTCGGTTCTATCGAGGAGACGGTGGGTCAGTGGAGACCATGTGCTTTTGGGCCCGGCAGGTCAGCATGCAGAGCCTCCTCCCCGAGGGCCTCAGGCCAGGGCCATCTGTGGCAAGACTCAGTAGTCGAAGATCCATTGGCCGATGCCTTTTCGCACAAGCATCCAGGCTTCAAACTTCTCTTGTTCGGCGGATGCGCTTCCAGCGTAAAGATGCTGCGTCCGTTTGCGGCGCGGCCAGGGATCTCGCCAATTCGAGAAGTCAGCCTACAAGAGAGAAGATTGTGACGAGCCACCCGGCGTACAAGACCCATTGTGCTTTGGGATGCGGCAGGTTTCGCTGTGGTGTCATACAGTCCAGGTTGACGATACGAGTTCCGGAAGCATGGGTAGCCTTTGGTTTAGCCACAGGTGTTGTCCTGGCTTAAGTGACAGGAAGTGCCCCAGCTGAGGAGAAGAACCTCTATATGACCACAGCACAAACTTGTGAAAGTCAAGGGTAGGTTGAGGCATGGACTCGGCCAATTGGCCAGCCATGTAGCAATTTGTCAGGGACACTGTGCAGGCAACGATTGCGGTTTGCCGTTTCACCTTTTTTCCTATGACGCTTCACGGCAACCCCCATATCATAAGACTCCGCTAGGTGAGTCACGGCTAAATTGCCAGAAACCATAAGAAAGCCCAGGAACGCACAACAGGATGCACTTTCCAAGCGAAGGGGGTTCATTGGCTCGGCGCGTGACGGGGCATGCCCAGCCCTGGGCATGTCGCTTCAAGGACCGAAGCCGAATTCTAGGCAAGTCCTGCGCGCGAAGCCAGCAGTGAAGCGGCACATCGCATGGGCGAGTGAAAACTGGCCCCGTGTCCGGAAGCCAGCGAGCGCCTGAATTGCCCGATTGGGCAGCCAGACTGGCCGGCGCTGTCCAGCCTTCCGCTGTACCGCAGAGGCACAATGGAAGAGTCCGAAGGGGCTGAGACTTTCACCAGCACATCCCACGACTCCTTCGCCGGCAGGCAAGCACGCGCTGGGGGAGGTGCAAGGACTGCATGTGTTTCAACGCCCAGGATCAACACAAGGAGTTTGCTAGCTTGTAGAGGATCAAATCATTTGCAAAGGCCTCCAAGTCCGAAGTTGACATCAAGCCCAGAAATTATGCGTGCCTAGCAGCCAAATCCATGAGTGCTGAGTCAAATCAGTCGCTCTAACTTTTATAGGGAGAGCAGCTGCTCCAGTTTCACCCTCGCCCTAGGCGAAGGGAGGCAACACAACTCCTGCGATGGAAAGGGCGGGCGGGTGTTTGATGTGCGAATCAGGACAAGGTCTTTGGAAGCCCAGGGTGATGTGCAGAGTATGTTTCGAAGCAGAGGCATGTTGTGACCGCAGTGACTTGGAGCTGCAAGCTTGTACAGTCGGCTTGGGATGTGGAGCTTCGCAGCGCTGGCAGCGCTCGCTTCGGCTGAGCCCAACACCAGGCCTGCGTTCTGTTAGGTTTGAGCCGGGTCTACGAAATGTGAAGGGTCACCTGCGGACAATTCGCAGTAGCTTCGACAGTTTATTTGGGTCTTAAGTCTTTCACGTTGTTTGAGCGCATCAAAATGAAGCTGATTGAATGATCCCAACTCCAGGTCGGCATCCCCTAAATGGGCCAAATGGGCCAAACAACGGCGTGGTCTGCCGTTTTGTCCTTCAAAAAAGCTGTGCGGGGAGCAGCTATGCAAATGCTGCAGTACTGTTGGGTCACCTTCAACAGCAGGTGTCAGAACCTGCTCGAAAGCGTTGCATGCTCTCCAGCGCCTTGGGAGAATGCAGCTTGGCAGGTTCTTGCGGAAGAGCAACGCGTCCGTTGCATCGGCGCTGACCTGTGGTGGGTTGGAGCTGCAAGAGAACGAGTTGTGCCGCGACACCGTGCTGTGGGCGGCAGGCGGCGGGAAGCGGCCTGGCAAAGTGAGGACTTGGCGGCTGCAGAGTTTCTCAGAACAGTCCGGGAAAACTTCAGGCATGCTTAGACATTTCCAGGGATTCATGTGGTCTTGGGGATTCATTTGCGCTGCTGCGGCACACGAGTTGTGCTGATCGTGGGCGGGCGGAATAGCGCAATTTGAGGTGGGACCCGCGGGCCGCAGAGTGGTTCACGCAGTTCGAAGGCTTCTTGGCGCAGTCAGCTGGAGCCGATTTGGGTTGAGCGTTGGACAGGGCCTTTGCAGCGACGGTGCGAGGCATTGCTGGCGTGCCCATCGGGCAAGGCAATGCCGCGGACTACCAGCGGCTCTATTGGTGCGCCCCGCCGGGCGGCAAATTCTGTGGCCTTCCACCCTGCGGAGGCGGGCCCTGTTTGTTCGAAGCACGTAGCTGCATGAGTGAAGCTAAATGAGCTAGGGAAGAGAGGGCCGAGTACCAGAGCCGCTGCATTTTTTTCCCGGCAGGCTGCAGCAGCCCACCGTGCCAAGACTGCTTTGCCGGCAAACCTCTGATGGCAAACTTGAGGCCAGGCTGTGCAGCCGATGCCACTGGCATCGGCTGCGTGCCCCCAAAGGAGACCATGGGGTACAACGGACAGCACTGGCCCACAACGTTCATCAACGGCACGGAGGCACGGCTGACGCCAAAGCATTGGCAAAGCCAGCTTCAAAGCAAAGTGCGTAACTCAAAGATTGTTCAGTCCGTAGCCCAGGAGATGCATATCTTTCTCATCGGCGACTGGGGCGGGTTGGACGGCACCCTAGATACTAACGAAGGCCGGCCCGAGCTGATCGCTTACGAATGGGGCAGGCAGCCTGGACCCAGCGTTTTCCCGCGGAGCCGCTGGAACAAGCCGCACACGGAGAGGCTTTGTGGGCACAAGGCTTTCGTGGAGTGCTACAACACGCTAGGCAGGGTTTGAAGCCGAGATGCGAGAGGGCTTTCAATGCAATCTTCATCATTCTTTTTTGGGGTAATGCATGGTGTGGTACGGAGGGTAGGCTTGGATATGCAACGCAGATTTGGTGAAGTGAGTAACTGTGTCACTGGATCCTTCGATTCAATCCTCGTGTTTTTCTGGTTTTGGGGTTCCGTCCACTCCATTTGAGCCACAATCAACACCCGGGCAGAAGAAGGTTGGTAAGGGACCATCCCAGCCCTAAATTCTTAGTTCTTTGCATGGTTCTGGGCCTGGGTGCCCCGTTTTCAACCCCGGGTTTGGGATTTCTGACTCTAGCTGTTGATTCCCCATCCCCAGGTTTTGTTTTGTTTTCTGGAAAGAAGGATCCCTGGAAATGGGGAAGTTACCCCTAAAGTGACAGGTTGTATGCCCTTTTCCCCGCGCCTCAGCTCCGGCACAGGAGCTCCGCCCTGCGAGGAGGGCTGCGGCTTCGTGAAGGGCGTGGACGACCAGCCGCAGCTGCTGGTGGCAGAGGCCTTCAAGGAGCGCGCGGCCCTGAAGGATCCCCAGCGCCCGGGGCTTCGGGCTGGGGGGGCGGGGCTGGGTGAGGGCCTTTTTTTAATATTATTATTATTATTATCATTATTATTATCATTATTATTATTATTAAATATATAATCCGGGTAAAGGGAGAGCGACAAGGTGGGCTTTCTTCGCCTTTCAGCTGCCCGACTAAGTCAATAAGTCCTTACATGTTGATTTCATGTTGCCTTCAGACCGGTTGCTTGCAAGGACCAATCCATAAAGTCCCAGGATAGTATTATGGCCTTCTACCAGTCCAGTGAGTTTTAGTGATGATTTTGTTGGCTGCAGACCAGGTATATTCTGAACGTCGGCGACAACTTCTACTGGGGTGGCATTGAGAAAACATGCGGCAGTCCCATGAGCCTCGCCTTAAACTGTAATGCAAGGGACTTTAGAGCCTGGCCTGGTCGAACCCGTGAGATGCTCACTGCGAACCAAGGGACCGCATCTCTTACCCTGCGAAGCACCAGTTTGACCAGATCTTCGAAGGTGTCTATCAGGGTCCCGGCTTGAGCTGCTTAGCCGACGAATAAGAAGACATGCACACGATGAAGGGATCGGGGATACTCTTGGCAGCGCAGCTCTCACGCAGTGAAAAATGGACCAAGGTGGGAAGCCCTGGTTCAGCGTCCTTGGAAATCACGACTGGGGAGGCTTCAAGTTCGACAATGGCCCAGCGCCCAGGAAAACTCGGGGCTTTAGCCATGCCTTGAGCTCATTGCGCAAGGCTGGGACCAGCAGATGGCGTACACGTGGTTCAGCGACCGCTGGGTGATGCCAGCAGTCTACTACAAGACCACCGTGGTGTACACGGCTGGGGCCAGAGCTTGAATGCATTTGTAGGCGTGCCAAAGTGTAGGCACTTCTCAAAGGCATACGGAAGAAACACGTGACATTTGGCGCGGTCACTTGCAATCTGGTTGCATGTGGGCCTTGCGAGGATTTGGACTTTGATGTGGATTATTACTTCTTGGACACCAACTTTTTGGACGCCATGCCGCCTGAAGAGGACTCAGGGATTCGCGGATTTCGGCGTTTCCACGATTTCAGCGTCGGCGGGGAATCGGTTCAGGACCCGAGCCACAACATGTGCAGCTCCAAGAACAACCGGCCGAATGCCACCTGTGCATCAGCCGGCGGGCCCCCATCGGTGGAGGCGTGCCCTGGCTGGTTCGCGAGGCTTTGGGAAGAGCAGAAGGAACCTCGCAGAAATGGCAAGCTTTTTTTGGCCCAGAGGCGCTATTTTGGCGATTTGCCCACTTGGCTGAGACGCAACGGCAGTTGGGCCCGTGGTCATCCTCGGCCGGATGCACACATGCCTTGAGGTCTGGATCAGCAACCTGCTGCCCAAGTCTCAGGCCACTTGGCAGATCATCGTGACCCACTTCCCTTGCGGATCCTCGGATTGCAGTTGGGGTCGAGGTGATGTTATCACATGCTTGGCAGAGGCATTGCGGTGCGTAGCAGTGCCTCGCGTGGGGCGGGGTGCTGGCAAGGACATGAGCAGGCTTTCTACAAGTCGTTGGTTGAACAGGGCTTGGACTTGCTGGTCACAGGCAGGCTAGCAAGCCTCGTTTCTGAAGCCGAAGCCATGGGTCTGGGCATTTGATCTCGGCATCTCGGGATGTGCCGTGCTTTGTGTGATGTTTTGCCAGGCCATCGTCACGACCAAGAGCTTTGGCAGGAGGAGATGTGGCATAAGAATCACATGGGGGTCACCTGCATTGTCACTGGCGGTGGGGGTGGAATCTCCTCTGAGGCAGGGGCACCTAGAAGCTTGTTTTCGGCAGGGGCTTCTTTTTTGTTGCCGGCTGGCGCTGGGTAAAGCCAGCAGGGACTCACAAGTTCCCCGTAGGACTAGCCACATTGAAGCATTAGGTGGAAACGGTCCAGGGTTGGGAGCGTCATTTTCACGACAACTCATAGCATTGCCACTTGTCGTCCGAAGATGGTTTGCGTTGGCTGGTATTTCCCCCCAAGCAAGACTGCGTGAAGTTGGCCGTTACTTTTTGGGATGCCGAGGGTTCGGGCTCCAAGACCCCGACTCGAGCTTGGTGCTGTCGCCCTGAGGCCACGCCAAACCCGAACAACACCGAAGACTGGTATGGTGAGGCTCAGTACGGCTTCTACGACCTCACCATCAGCAAAACGGAGATTTTGATCGAATCTATCAATTATGATAGCGAGTTGCTCTTAAGCTACACCGTTTACCCCAAATGAGGGCCGAAGGCTAGGGCTTTTGCTGCAGTTTTCGCCTCGGCTTCCTGCAGAAGATGGGAGGCTGAAGCAAAATTCAAGATGCAGAGGCGGAACCACGAAACACATTCTTGCACAGCATGCGGCCTCAAATGCCAAATGCCTTGAGCAGTGGCCGTGATGTGTTGCCGTGGCGCTTTGCACAATCTTTTGCAGGACCAGGGGCTTGAAACCAAGCTTGACCTTGGCTGCGTGCTGAATTTAGGCGGGCTTCAGATGAATCGGAAAGCACGACTCCGGGATCAGAGCGGCACTGCAGCGGGCCGAGCCCGTTGGCGCCATTTGCCCGAGTCGCAGCAAAAGGATGTGGCGCGGTGTGAAGTTCGACCCGCTGTATCAGGGCTTCCCCAATTTCTTTTTTCTTTTTTTGTTTTTCCTTTTTTTTTTTTTCTCCTTTCGAAACCCCAGGGCTTTTTTGAAGCGCCTCCCGCATTTTCTATGTCGGGCTGGCCAGATCCCCAAAGTGCTGGATTGTCCCTTCCTTATGGATCTATGGTGCCATGGTCCAATACAATCCTTTCACTGGGCCAGTTCGCATGATCTGGAACCAACGAAGGGCCTTTGGCTGTGATGTTTGCTTGCAGCGCCTTGAGAGGAAGAGAGACAGAGAAAGAGAGAAAGAGAGAAAGGGGTCGGGAAGCGTGAGAGCACCAAAACCACAGAACGTGTCCGTGCTGCAGCCGCAGGCCACCTTCGGCCGGGAGGCGCCGAGGCGCCGTGCGGACGTGAAGCCGCCAAGCTGCAGTGGCAACGATGTTGGCCTCGTTTCGGTTTTGGGTTGTTGCATGTTGCGGGGGGTTGCTGCATACCCAGAGGCTGTTTGCATTTTGGCAGGTATGTGTCCCTGGGGTAGTGCAATTAGTCTTTTACGCCCCTCTTGGTTTGTCGCATGGCACATGTTTGGCGCCCTTTTGCGGTGCCATCTCCTTTGATGGTTGACCTGGGTTTTTGCTCTCGTTTTTTTGGTGCAGCCTGGTCATAGCAACCAACTGGCAGAAGTGCTCTTGATGCACAGATTCAGTGCCAGTCCCAAGGCCGCGTCAGCCGTGGGAAGACCAGATCATCGGCGTTTGCCAAGGCAAGGTGCACGTGCCATGACGCACGGCATGGCTGGCTTGTGCCTTTGCAGCTCCTGGCCTTCAGCGATCGCCAGGCTGCGGCGGGCGGCAGTTTTTGGTCACCAGCTGCAAGGCCTGCCGGAAGAACTGGAAGATGTCGAAGGGGGGGAGGGGAGCGAATGGGAGGAGAATTCGCAAGCTTGGCTTGAAGCAACAGCTCTTTGCAGGGCTGCAAGGCCGCCTATTGCAGCGCCGCCTGCCTGACGGCCAGCTTCCGGCTACACCGTCGAGGCTTGGCGCCGGAGCATTTGTTGCGCACGGCACTTAAACGGCTTTGGGAGCAACCCATTTTTTGCAGTGACTGCAGGATGCGCCTTCGAAAGGGACTGAGGCCCGCTTGGAGCATAGTTGTTTAAGTTTCAGTGCAGTTGAGGGTCAGAAACTTGGACTCTCCTTAGGCAGCGCCAAGTTATCTTGGTAACTCTAAACCTGCTGTTTCGCAGTCGGCCGGCCGGCCCGTCACAGAGCTTCAACTGCACTTTGTTTTTTGTTCACTCGGGCTTCCCTTCGCTTTTGACCCAGAGCTTGGCACACTTACTGGGAGCTTGTGTAACGCGAAGGAACGCTCTCGGCAAGCAAATTCAGTCACCTCAGCGGCGCACGCGCCAATGCAGAAATCATCGGCCCATTTTCTGCACGGATCCGTCAGAGACACTAAGGATTGAGGTAGCGTGCACATGGTTGGCTAGCGCGATGAATTCAGCTCGGCGAGGAGAGGGGCTCAACTCTGCAGCCGTTCGAGGCTTGAGCCAAAGAAGGGCAATTGCGTACAAACGCGAAGGCTCTCACATGCTCACATGCCGTCCTCGCCCGTATGAAAGCAGCCTTGAGGAGGAAATCGATTGTATCCCTATTTGCAAGCAAAGCACGCATGGGTTGGACATCGCGCGGAATAGCATTGGCCAGCCCGCGGCCATGTGTCATGCGACGTTCTTGCAGCCGCAGCAGGCATGCCAGTGACCAACGGCTTGTTTGGTTGAAGCTAAGTCCCTCTCAGGGCGTGAAGGATGTGACGCGCAGCATTGCGCAGCTTGGGCGCGGGCCTTGGGCGCTGGGCATGGCCGGTGGGCTATGGATGGGAATGGGAGGCGCTCATCGCGGGGCATGCGAATCATCCGGTCTGCGCCCAGCGGAGAAAGCCGAGGCGCCGGGGCCGCTGGGACGATGTCCTGGCCGCTTGGAAGAGCTGCCGCCGGGGCCTTGTGGACGTGAAGACGTCGAGAAGACGCAGAAGCTGCCGCTATGCGTGACAAACAGCAAGCAAGCGCCACACAGACTAAACTGAAATGGGGTCAACGGCTGATTGGCCTCCCGAAAATCTGAGGTTGCAACCATTTGGAGACAGATGTCATGGCCGCTCCGCCCATTTGGAAAAGTGCGTTGCTTTGGGTCACCCAATTGGCTTGACACCAAGACAGGTTTGCAATGCTGCTGTGGCTGGGCCAGGGCCCCAATAGCAAACATGATTTCTCTACTCGTTCGAATTTGGGATTTGAGTGGGACTGCCTTGCAGGTGTCGCAGTGCCTGGCACGCCGTGCAGGGCCCAAGGCTGCAAGCAGGCCAATACCAAGCCCAGGGAAGCAGAGACGTCTATGTGGCATTGAAGTCCAGCGGTAGAAATGGACCAACGGGACCAACGCAGGTCAGGCAATCGCTGCCGTTCGTGCGACTTTGAGGTAGGGGTCCCGAGGCTCAGATCCTAGTGGAGGCAAAGGGCAGCAGCTTGGAAGCGGATGTGCAGCACCCAGACTGAGCTCGATAGGATCCATGCGGCCCTGCGTGGAAGTGAAATTTGGGAGTGAGCCGCAAGGCGAGCGCCAAAAGGGAATGCAGTAGAAGCCACCGGAGGCAGTCACCTTGACCTCCCTCTTGCGCAGCTGGCGTGGTGGCGACTGGGTTGGGGCCTTACAAGGCGGGGATGTGCGGGATGGCGGCTTTCTGAGGAAAAGGCTTGCGCGGCCCTGGCCCAGGCAAGCCGCGCAGCCGGGCTGGGTTGCTGGATGTACTTGGCCGTGGGTCAAAACCAACGGTACCATTTTGGGGTAGGTGCACCACTCATTTTAGTCTATTTTAGTGGGGATTGGGATGTTCACTGGGGGTGCGAGATTTTGACGCATGGCCACTTGGCTATGCCATGAATGATGCGAGCCACACGTCAGCTGCATCACGCGCCGCGCGCCAAGCTGTGTACGTTCAGGCCAGCAGCAGCTCTATCCCGCCTGCTCGCCCCTCGGACCATTCGCTCCTGAGCTGGCTTCATGCCTCAATCATGCATCTCGCAAGGGGGCATACTCCAACCGCTTGTTTGTTGCCTTTAGAATTCATTTGGAGAGTGCTAACAAGACCATGGAACCCAGGATGCTGTTCTCTTTGCTGGCATCCTGGCAGCCTGCAGCGCTGCTGGGCGTGCGGTGCCTATTGACTGGCCGCACTGTGTCGTTGAACGGTGGCTTGTTTCACACAGGCAGTCTGGCAACGGTCACGAAACGCTCTGTTGAGGGTGGCTGTGAATCGTTGCGACACGGGCAAGATTGCTTCCCTTGTTCCGCCGATTGCGTTGCCCAGTTTTTGGCTTACACCTTCCATGTCAGCTGGCTTGCAGCATCTTAACATGCCCCTCCAGATTTGGCAATAGGGTGCAATGATACAGCACACCGTATCAAAGTCGATTCAGAGCTTGGTATGCAGCTGCTGGTGTGGCGGCGCCACCCTTCATGTTGCAGTTTGGCAGGTTTTCGGGCTAGCGGAGTGCAGGGGACGACATGTCGTGACACCCAGCGACTTGAGCAGCGTAGCGCGCAACAAAGCATGGAACCGTTCAAAGCGGGCTGAAACTGCGCCAGCTCTCCTTGCCCTGGCAGCGCAGCCCATGTCTGGGCAGTCTGGCCTGGCTGTGTCGACGCATGGCAGCATAAGGTCCTTGTAGGATTCACGGCCTCGGCATGGCTTGTGCCCGCATGTGAAGCGTCCAATGCTATGCTTTGTCAGCTGCCCTTAAGACTGAGACCACTGTGCTTCATGTGCCGTGTGTTCGTATGGCACTTGATGACACTATTCAACCGAAGGGAGGTCCAACATCAGAAAGGGGGCCTGCACAACAGTGGACTTGAGCGTGCCGGAGGCTTTCCCGGCGGACGTGGCTACTGCCGCTGCTCCTAGGGCTGCTCACGCGCGAACTCTGGAGGTGGTGGCAGCGACGCAAGAGGCGCGACGACCTGCGGCTGCGGATCAGTTCGGGAAACGCGGCAGGTTTGCGCATGTTGGCGTTTGTTTGCTGAAGCATGCTTCTTCATGCATTGGTGAGGCCAATGCAAATCCACGAGAATCAACCTTCATCTAAGCATGCGTTCCCTCTCTTTGATTTTGGAGTGAGCCTGCACAAGCACCACCACGAGGCATTCTGGAAAGCACTGCGCCACTTGAGATGCACCCCCCCGACCATTCTAGCCCGCGTTGAGTAGATCAACCTTCCAGAATATGCCAGAAATAAACACCTTTGCTTGGCTTTAAGCGCACGCGAAGAAGAAACGAGTCTTTTGCATGGGTTCTTTGCCTTGGTATTATTCCCATTGGCTTTCCCGATTGCTGAGAATTGCTGCATGACCGCATCCGCTGTCACAATCCCGTTGCGGTTGCTCACACGGCGCATTTTGGACCACCAGCTGCTTTCCTATTCCAAAGTGTTTTCAGTCTTTGCGCGGGGGGACCCATTCAGCCGTTTGACTGTATTTGTCCCCCAGGCCACTGAGTGTCGACTGGGGAGAACATTGGTCCACGGGCCTTGCGGACCGGCCTGCGAGGCACCTGCCTCAGAAGCTGCCCTCTCAGCGGGGCCTGGCGCAGGTGCGGCCAGGACACTGGCCCCCAGGCCCCCAGACCCCCAGGCCCCCAGGGCTCCCAGGCCCCCAGGCCCCCGGGGCTCCCAGTTTATGAGCATGTGACAGCATGTGAGCGTCTGACGCTGTTTGGGCGACCTCCGGGGGCCGTGTCGGGCGGGTTGGCGCTCCTCGGAGGACCGGACGAGGACCAGCGCTTCCAGCAGCTTGCGGATGATCCGCGGGACCAGCCGGATGCTCCGCTGGGGAAGGCCAGCCGCCGAAATTTTCATCTGAGGTGCAGATGGAGCGAACGGACGGCCGAGTCCCCTTTAAGCGGGAAGAAAGGGTCAAGGAACTTGCAACGCCGCTGTGGGAAGACCTGTGCGTCTTCTGGAGCAGTTCCCGAGGCGCAACGAGCTGCTCTCGGGGAGAGGGTGCCCGCTGGCAGCAACACTGCATCCTACAGTCCATCCTCCACTTTGGTGCGGCCGCCCGCTTCAATTTAGGCAATGCCTTGAAGGTTTTACGACGTGTTCCGCATGGGCATGCGGGACCTACGGTCCACAGAGAAAAGCATGCTCGCAGCTGACTACTGACTGTTTCTGAAAGCTGCCGGTGGGAAATTGGAACTCGCCATGTCCAGAGTGTGATCAGGCGGTTTGGTCATGTGGTTGCTCCGTGGTTTTGCCTTTCCCACAGGCCGACCCTACGCTTCATTTGTAGCAGCCAGAGCAACACCTACAGTGGCATGGCAGGGCCGGATGACTTCGTTGCAGTGCCAGAGTTTTTCTGCGCCTTGGAAGCAGAAATGGCCAATTGAGAGCTGGTAAATTCGGTTCGGTTGTGCGGGATTTTTCTTCTTGATTTTTCTTTCGGCGGTTTCTGCTCGGTTTTGTTTTTTTTTCTCAGGTTTCGCCTCTTTGATTCTTCAAGTTGCCATTTCTGGGAGAGTCTGACTTCCGCGCCGCGGCAGGTGCAGCCTCGGACATGGACCTCTACGACACTCGGCCAAGCGCAGTTCGCGTTTTCCGGAGCCCCAGGCAGTTCATGGAGCGCGTCAGTCCTCCAATCACGGCGAAAAAAGTCTGCTGCTGAGGAAAGGCTTCACGAGGAGCTCATCCAGATGACACAGACTTCATCGGGAGAGTTTCCCGTGTACCAAGGCGTGCTCATGCGCATCCAAGAGCAGTTTGTCCGCATGCTTATTGAATCGGAAGTTGTGTCGCCCTAGCTGGGAGACTCGCCAGCTAAGGTACTTTGCCACTGAACAGCTCAGAACCTGCCTAACTTGGCACTCAGCCGCTGGTGACCCTGGCATGACACTTGGCGACACTTCGGTGCTCATGGCAAGAGCGCGAGACTGCAAAGCTTGATGGCAGTTCTTGCCCGCTCGTTAGGACAGGTTTGTGTTCCCATAAAGTTGTTGAAGGAATCGGCGGTCCGTTGTTTGGCCTTGCTTCGGCTCCAAACCGGCCCATTTGGACCTGTAGATGAATTCTGCTTTAAGGCTGTTTGCAAGTCTCTTCAAGACTTGGCGCTGCTGAGGATGTCCAAGTCAGATGACTTTGACGAATTGCAGAGGTCTGGGGAGTTTGAGTACACCGTGTGGCTCGGCAATGCCAACAAGTCACGCTCCCGAGCTGTATTCCAGTATTTGTGAACCGTGCCTCACTGCATGCACAAAGGGCGCCCTTTTTTCGACGTGATGGCGGCCTTTGTGGCAAGATGGGTTGTGGATCTTGACATGTGTGCTCGAGATTCTGCAGGTCAAATTAAAGGATGAAGCTACGGGAGATGTGGCGTGTCAAAGTGAAGAGGTGGGCCAAGCGATGCGAAACGATCTGAAGGCAGGTTGTAGTGACAAAGTCTCGGGATGGTCCAAATTGGTGTGCCCTCTGTTCGGTATCAGAGAGTTCACTCACACGTTCTGGCCACAATGGGCGGGGATCTCTTTGTCCGAGGCACTGCGTGTTCGGCCGCGGCTGCGAGCTGCAACTGCAGCGGAGGGGCCACGAGGATTTTGTGGCGGTGCCCTGCGTGAATGGCGCTGGGGCAGCATGGGGGGGGTGGAACACTAGACCTGACCGACCCACTCAGGTACTTCAACCGTTTAAAGGCAGTTTTTCGATTGGCTTCCGTTCACATCAAGGTGAAGGGGGCCTTCTCAAAAAATGTCCCATTCAAATTCCGTGTGTCTGGGCGAATCTTAGCGACTTCACGGGGGTGGATTGGTGTGTGGGTTGATGAATTGATCTAATTATTCACCTGGGACCTGCAGTTGTCACCAACTACGCTTCAAGCTGAATACTCCTTCTGGGACTTTCAGTTGGGATGACTGCAACATCCCACCAGAATGGAAGAGTATGTTGTTGGTTCTAATTGTCTGTGGTTCAAAAGTCCCGGCATTTTTGAAGAGGTTGCAGACACCAAGCATTCCATGATGTGGGCATTTGCAGATACAAGTTGCAGATGCAAGTTGTGGCGCTTGTGCCAACGAGGCTGCTTGTTCCTCCTCGGCGCAGCAGTGCTTTCCAGCCCCCTATCTCAAATTCGGCTTGACCCGATTTGAGTTGTGGTTGGCAAATCAGTTGAAGTCCCGAATGGGGCGTTGTTTTCATCAATGTGCGTAGGCATGCGGCATGCAGACGGCTTCAGCCGCATCCCCTGTCCCAAGGATACCGCTGCCTGCGTGCAGTTTCTGATACCGCGCCAGTGCTTTCGATCACCGTGCTGACAAGCTCTGCCCTGCGAAGGCGCGCAGACACGAAATAGACATCACAACATACCGCAACACACCTACAACACCTACAACACGCCAGAGCAGAACTCGAGACAGCAGCGCACCACAACATAGAATATGACATCACACCACAAGACCACACACTGACAACGCCAGATCACTTGCTTTTGCGGAGAGCTTGCTCCAAGAAACTTGCTCAGAGAGACTTTGTACAACGTGATAAATTATTCTCTCGGGCCACTTGTCCTCTAGCAACCATTGGCTGACGCGGGCGGAATAATACGGACTTCTCACCCGTTGGCCTGGCTGACATGAGCCGCCCCAGCCGCAAGGTGCTCGTCAGCTGTGAAACCTGGCGAGGCAGGGCCAAGAAGCTGTTTTCTCATCAGCTTTGGAGGTAGGGCCAACTGTTCAAATGGCTGTCAGAGGGTCAACACCAATGGTACCGTTTTGGGGTAGGTGCACCACCCCATTTTAGTCCATTTTAGTGGGGATTGGGATGTTCACGGGGGGTACAGGATTTCGACCCATGGCAAAATGATGAGGAATCTGCGCGTTTTGGGCCTGAGGCTAAGTTGGAGGCCAAGACAATTTGAATGGCCAAGTTACACAGACGCGCGTTTAAGCAAGGCGCCCCTTGTGCGAAGTTCGTGCGGCGTCGCGCGCTCTTTGGAGGTGCCCTGTCAGCTTTCGCCGGGCCTGCCGCGCCGGCCTGCCATGCGCATCTGTGCCGTCGGCCCGCAGATGAGCGCGGGGCTGTGCCCTATCAGCGGCCTGGCATCAGCTGCGGAACGGAGGGACGTTTGTTCAGGGGAGGACTAGAAAGCCACTGGAGGATGGGGCCTACC